TTGTTTTTAGAAATCCAGTTATCAACTTACCCATTATTTTGCAGAACTTATATATGAAGAAACCTATTTTTATTTCTACTATGTCAGAAATCTTGGTTACGTTTCACAGTAAGAGGTAAGAATGCTAAACAAAACAATGTCTAAGCAGCTTGGGTCTTAATCAAGTGACTTTCTGATTACTGAAAGTATTTGGTCCTGTGACTATCCATTAGCATTCCTCGTGATTTCTGTAAGCTTCTCTTTTGTTTTAGGTCAGTATGTATTGTACTCTGTACTCTAATTTATGAATGTCTACAAGGTGGCTCTGAAATAATAGTTTGGTAATGCATATGAGCAGATCTATATTGCCACTTGGTTTCTCACCTATAGTCCAATTCATTTAACCCCTGTTCCTGCAGAAGGCCTCCAAATTGTTTATAACACCCATCTGTGTTAATTAAGTAGCATCAATGACTTGAAAGTAGTTAGCCCAAAGGACTCTTCTCTCAAAACTAAACACAATGAAATACATTTCACAATTTTTAACTTGCTTGCTCTTATCTCAGGGCTGCAAATGCTCATCCCTTAGAGGCTGTGTTTAAATGCCAATAGAAAGGCTTGGCAGCAGGGGGGCTGCAGATGGGACCTCTGAGGGAGGAAGAGGCCAGAGGCTGCCCTGTGCCAGACATAGCTGCTCCAGCCAGGACACCTCTGGGCCACAGCTGAGCCCATCAGCCAGGCTCTTGGTGCCTCTGTGAAAAAGTCTGAGCAGGGGCAGAAAATGTGAAGAAGAGGGAAGAACAGAGAGAATAGCAAGGTCAGAGAACTGGAACATACTTTGTGGCAGAGCAGGTACCTCCCTGAAGGAACTGAGACCATGAATAAGCTCATGATGGAGCCGGTAGTCTTGTGAAGGGGCTACAGCCAATAAAAGAGCCACAGTGGAGCATAAGACAGAGAGAAAGAGAAGAAGCAGCAGGTAGAAACTGTTCTGCACTGATCCTGACCTCCCACGCTGTTCAGTATCTCACTGAAAGTACCGAGTGTAATCTGCACAGCAGGGGATGTGGTGTGAGTGAGTGGATATGGGTGCCTGGCTGCTAGCTGGGGACAGTCTGGCTGCTTTGCAGTAGGTGAATGAAGTGGAGAAGTTGAAATTTTACCCTGTTGAGCCTATAGAGGCATAGAATCACTAACATCCCCTGTGCAGGGGATATCTCTTGTTAATATGAGGTTTTGCTCTAGCTACTCATCAGCAGTATACATTTAGCCATGTCCCGGTCCTCTCCTCCATTGAGAGGTGGACTAAACATTCTGTTTAGTGCATTTTGAAGTTCCATTTTGATCCAGAAAAAGTGAATTAAAGTAAAAGATGGAGGCGATTATCGAGGATCTCCTGGTTAATTGGACAACTACTGTCTGAAGGTGTGTAGCAAAGGTGAATAAATACTGGTGAATCACACTGGAAGAATCCAGGACTTTCAGATTTACTTTTCTTTCCTCTCCTGCTCCCAGCAAAGCTCATATCCAGCATGCAAGGGGCGGTGCAACAATCTTCCCCTTGTTCTGTGTTTCCACGCCACATGACAAATGTCATTGGTAAGCCAATGTGCCATCCTGCAGCATGTGATGCTTGAGGTCATGGACTGTGACAGAAACAGTGGCATTAGGCTGCCTGACAGCCTACACTGTCACTGTGCTTTCCTGCTTAGAACATCCTTAGCATGTGTCAGCTGGAGCAACTTGACCAAGGATGTCACTTTCTTAGAGTTTTCTAGACATGGAGTTGCATGTACTGTAATAAATAAACCGCTACTGATAACCTACAAGAAATATTTAACTGCATAAACTTAGGGAACCATGCGTTAGGCAACTTGTGTCAACTTGAGCCCAGACAGATGTCTGGACTGCACCGGTGTAGGCAAAGGTGCAGCCTTATGTATCCCATTTAGGATTCCTATTATGGTAATTGCACTAATCTATTGGAGACTAATAGCAAGAAAAGGCCTCATGCTGAGGTCCTCCACTACAACTAAAGGATGGCAGATGAAGTCTGTCCTGAAGAGCTTGCCATGGATGTGAACAAGACAGGGTAAACCAAAAAAAGTGCAGTAAGGGCAGTTACTATAAATGTTCTCATGAGATTCTTGATTTTTTTCTCAGCTGATTTTTCTGTGTGCTGTTACTGATTTGATTTCCTTGTTCAGCAGCTTCTGCCCAGCAGCCAGGTGGTGGAAATCATCTAATGCAAGCATTGAGTTGAGGAGGGGGAAAAGAGGAGAGGTCTGACTTACTTAAACCTCCCAAGAATGTCCTAATCTTGTAACGAATGTGAGTTTCCTGCATGCAGGTCTCTGGAAAGTTTACAGATGAGCTGAGACCCATAGAGGTGCCTGTGTGTCAAAGTTGAACTATTTACACGTGGCTCTATTTGTTGTTCCTAGGCAGAAGGAAAAATAACACATTTTTAAGTGATGGGAGAAAATGTTACATCTACGTTTACTTTGGTTTGGCTAAAAAGCTGTTTTAATTCAATTCAGCTAAATAAATATTACCCCATTTGTCAAATGTAAGCCTATTTAAACCCAGCTTATTGGTTTAGCTTGCACCTGTAACCAATGTAGCTTGTATGGAACCCATGTGAAAGTGCCTGCAGTGATTTGTATTGGCTTGACATCAGGGTTTTATGTTAAACTCCTGTAGCTTCCAGGTGAGGACCTCCCCTTAGTAGCCTCCAGCAATAAAAGTGATGACTTCAGTTTATACTGCTAATAAGAGCCAACAGTTAAAACTTGACTAGTGCCCCTCACTCTGTTGTTGCCCTTCAGTGTTTTTGCATGAGACCACAAGTTAGCTGTCAGTGTATCCTGTTTCTTTAAAAAATAAGGCGATACACCTGACTGCATCTGCTTCAGGAGCTCACAGCCTGCACGTTCATTTTAAACACATCTTTCAGGACAATCCACAGTGTCATCTTAGGACTTCCAAAACGTTGAATAAAAATGCAATTAGGCTGCATATGCTAAGGAAAGTGTGTTAAGGAAAAGCTTTCTGCTCAAATGACTGTGCAATGTGGTGGTCATGGTGAGGTCAAGCCTTGTAAGGGAGTCTGCATTTAGTAGGTCAGTCCATTACAAATTTTTAACCTCTAGACACAATGCTGCAGACATTTCTGCTTTTCACTTATTAAGGAATTTTGCCTCCCCTAATGGTAATATGTCATCGAATAAAGCATGACATATGACAACGTGGTTTGGTTTTGGTTTGGCAAGTGCTACAGGACTGGTGAAACTCCTGCCCCACCATGGGTTCCTCTCCACAGGCTGTAGCTCTGCCCCAGGGCTGTTCCTGCAGGGTCCTCCTTCAGGCCTCATCCACTGCAGCACCTTGGGCTCCTCCTTGGCTGCAGATGGAGATCTGTCCCATGTGGGTCCACAGGCTGTAGGGGCACAGCCTGCACCTCCATGGGCTGCTTCTAGGCTGCAGGAAACTCCTTGGAGTACCTCCTGCCCTCCTCCTGCGCTGACCTTGGTGCCTTCAGGGCTGTTTTTCTCACATCTCTCATTCCTCTCTCCCAGCTGCTATAGTGCATCAGTTTTTCCCATTCTTAAATCTTCTCTCTCAGAATCAAACCAGCATTGCTCATGGCTCAGCTCTGTCCAGCAGCGGGTCCTTTATGGACCAGTTGGAGCTGACTTCTCTGACATGGAACAGCTGCTGAGTGAGCTCTGCTCATCCATCTCTAGATGTGGTGTTGTGGTTGGATGCTATTTATGGCACAATCTAGACATTTCTCATTCTAATAGAACAGCAGTGCTTAATCACACAAATAATGATGTAATGGTTGTGGTTGTTGGAGGCTGTGATCAAGAGATATGATATAACGTTTTGGCTCAGCTGAGGATATGTGGCTTAGCCCCACTCAGCCAGTTCTTCCTCCAGTGGAAATGTTACATCCTTCTTTTAGCAATATTATGAGCATAAAACCCATTAGTGGTCAGATAGGCTTTTTTCAGGGAGTGGACTGTAGTGTTAGAATCTAGGTATCTACTAGTCAAATAGCTGTCATACAACTAAAAATAAAAGTACTGCTATTCTACATGGAGTGTTACTTGTTGATTGCTATACAGGTGCCTTAACGCTGTTAACAGAAGATAGGGATGACGCTGCCCTATGCTACGTGTTATAGGGAATGGTTAAAAAAATCTGATCAAATTTCTTCCCCTCCTACATTTCATGCGCAGCAATTTTCAAGGGATAGACGGAATCTTCAATCGTTTTCCTCAATCATATTTTTAAAGTGTTGATAAGTTATTTTGAAATACCAATTCTTTAAACATAATCTGTATTTTTTTCTGAAATCTCAGATCAGTATTTTTTGCCTCTTTCAGGTGTAAATGGATAACTGCTAATTAAATGCATAGTAGATGTATGGTACAGTCTAGAAGTTTTCTGTACGTATTCAGCCTTCTGTGCATGCTCAGCTCCTATAGAAAGATCTATTTTAAAAAGCTGTAGCATTCAATCTTCAGGTTCCTTGAAAAATTAGCCTCCGAGTTTAGTGTTTGTTATGACCTTCGTTAAACATTCTATGTGGCCTATGCCAATTAAAAGCATTAGCATAAAAAGATATCAGCCACGAGCTGTAACCTTAGGAAAAACAAATGTTTATGTTTTGAACATGAAAGCAGTGTTATTAACGAAGTGACTTATCAAGTGTAAATAAAATGACCTGAACAAAGTGTGCGTCAGCACACATGCATGTCCTCACTTGCCATCTGGTTTGTGTTTTACGTCCCCTGCTAGGGATGTGTTTTGTGCTAGTGGACAAACAATTGGCAAACACTTAAAAACACAAGCTGGAATGTATAGAAATCTTACAGCATTCTTTCACATGGTCTGTGTCGTGTGTGGGGAAAAAAACAGTTTGCAGAGAAGATGAATTGAACTGTAAACGCTGCATCCTGATAATTCTCTCATGTAGCCATATAGCTATGATTTCCTTTACTTTCTTCCTGCAGATTTTCCTGGAAGCCCAGCTAAGAATGCAACCAGCGATAAAATGAAAAAACTGTGCAGCTGAAGAACTGAAGAAGCATTTTTCTACTTGGTGAAAATGCCTCTTATTTTTTGACAACGATTAAAGAACAATGGGGTCAAACACACTTGGGAAGGCTGCAACGTTAGATGAGCTTTTGAACGCTTGTATTGAAATGTTTGGTAGGTGTACTTTGCTTTGCTGTTGTTCTTTGAATTAATCTTATAGCATAACCCCTGCTGTTCTCTGATTTAGGCAGTCTTTCCCTTGGCAAACATTTCTATTCTGTAAAATTTTCCATGTTTCATTCTGTCCCAGAATTATACAGGCCAGAATTTTAGTCATATGCATATTGTGTTAAGAAAATTTAATACAGATAAAGCGCAATGTTGTGTATAGTGGTTTTAAAACTAAACAAATGTTTAGTTGAATGATTCAAGGAGTTATTTCTGGCATTGTCTTGAGTGGTTACACAGCTGCTTTTCTGACCAGTTGATGCTCTAAAATGTTTTTCAAATCATCATGCAATAATTGGAAATAATACGACTTGAGGCTCATGCAATCTTTTTACTCTTATTTAAATGTAGTGTACCAGGTCTGAGGGAAAGAAGTGATGAAGTAGACCTTGATCCATTGCGCCATTAATCAAGAATTAGGTCACCCTATAGCCAGATGAGATGAGTTCATGGATATACTTATATGCTTTGAAATGGGTTCTTAATTCACAAAGCTACATTTAAAGTCTCTTGGAACACAAGACAGATTTTGATTTGATTGAGGGCTGTTGGTTTGTTTTTTTTTTTTCCCCTTTTGGAGAGAAGGAAGCATCCAAAGATGAGAGGAATTAAATATTTAAAGGCCAGATTTGGCTCCTCAGCATACTGCATCTCTGTATATCCATTTTTTGTAGACCACGATCAGACCTGCTGTCCTGTATACCTAGTGAGAGGTAACAGAACCCATATACTTCATGTCTGTTGGGAATAATATCTCTCTTCCATGTATACATGCTCTCTTGACAACTCTAGTCTGTCTGTGATTCCTGTTTCATACACAGATATAGACTATTGTCTACTGAAATAGTAACAGAGAGAAAATAACATAGGATTGTGGGTGCTGTGGAGCGTGAACAGTCAGCCAGCCTGCCAGGGAGTAACTTCCCATAGCTCAGTGGCTACACTGCAGAAAATGGGAGAGTCTGTACAGCAGCTGGAGGTGCGATCCACACATGGACTGAAGTGTTGCTTTTGATCCCCTTTTTAAACAATCTAGTGGTTGATACGCAGCTGCAAGTAAACAAATCTTATATGTGGTTTTAAATAAACCATCTCCCTGCCCTTTCAGTGGACTAACTTTGGATTTGTTATTTGTATAACCCACTGTCTCATTGCATGTCATCTAGCTTATGCTAGACATGTCCATGCCTGTTGTCTGCTTGGACTTTCTTTTCCCTACAGCACTACAGTCTAGCAATAGTTTCCTCTAAAGGAGGATTTGTGTGCTTTGCTTTTGTTTCCTGTCTGTTTTGTAAATAATGACCCAAGATTTTAACTTCTGATATTTTTTATCTCCACTTGAAGGATATACGCTTCTCTATTCGCAACTAAGTAGTTCATTACCTTGTTGCTCTTTTGCAGATGACAGAGGAAATCAATGCTCCAGCCATTTGCCAAGAATCTTTCTTCTAATGCATCGTTGGTACCTGCCTTCTACAGAGCTGGCTGTCAAGCTTCTGTCTACATATCCTTTCAGGAATTCTTGCAAGTTGGCATTACAGTGTTGAAAGCAGATTATTTCTGCAACTGCATGTAAAAATTTGTTACTTAATTAGTGACAAACAGGGCTTGACTCTTTCACCCTAAAACATGGAAATCTGGGAGCTTCATTCGGCTTTTGGTTGTAGGTATTTTCCATACAAGCAAGTTTGCTGAGGTATGCTTTGAATTATCTTTGAATACATGGAAAAATGTTGCCAAGATAACTTTTCAAATTTATAGTGGCAGGCTGGTATTATGGACTAATATGAGCTTTCACTGGTAGCTAAGTACCTATGCATCTTCAAAATTGTTCAGCAGAGTACTCAGAATAGTGCAATAGAGGCATTTTTGCTAGGGCAAAAACCAAAATGGCAGCCAAGAAATAGTCACTGTCTTAAGATACTGTGTAAGTGAATGAATATCAGATCATGCTGTAGTTGTCTGTTGAAGGAAAGTTTTTAATACTGGTTTTGCTCAACTGGTCTAGAGTCACTGTCTGATGTAGATAAAAACCACATTACTGAATCAAGGCACCTAAAGCTTTCTTTAACTAGAATACATATAGAGATGCCAGTGGAGAGAACTGCAATGAATTCAGACTAAAAATCTGCTATTTCATGAGGTGGGCATGCTTCTGTTTTCTATTTGCTATGAATACTACAATTGTAATTTATTTTCCTAACGTTTAAAAAAGTTACTGTTTTAATTTGATCTCTAGTCCATAGTAAAGTGTGAATTACTGTGCTTTGAAACCAATGGTTTCAGCAGAACCAGCGCTTAACACATGTAACTGTACAGAGCTGATTGAAAACCTTGTGCTGTGTATTACCTGGTGTTTGAGCATGACACCTCTTACAGGGAGACGAGGTCAGTGCCACACAGAACAATGACACTTTTTACTTCCACATATCATCTATTTTGGTGGAGGAAGTTTATCTCCGGGCTGTTGGCTTCAGTTCAAATAATCTGTGCGTAATTTATAATGACATGAGTATGTTAGTGATGTCAAAGCTTTTACAGATCAGATTTGTTCTGATCTTTGCACCTGTTTCTGACTTTGTTTCTACAGGAAAGCTCTCCCTGGTTAGGGTGTGCTTGTTTAGGAGCATTTCTCCATAAAATAGAAAGTATGAATTTTTAAGCTAACGTGCTTCAACCTGCTTCCCTCAAACAAATGACTAAATTATATCACTGTTGGATATGGGAGAGAGGTACTGAAAGTAGCACTGATAAAGCCCTTTTCCTGCCCTCTTAAATAGAAGAGGAATTACCTTGTTTACATGGTTATCGTGGTAGTGCTGCCACTTTAACTTCACATTTTCATTTTCACTGGAAAATCTTTTTCTGAGCACAGTGTCTCACTTAAACAAGGGACAAATGCAAGTCATTTGGGTGCCCTGGCAATGTGAGTTGGGATGGGTGTGGTGTGGCTGCCTTTTGTGTGTGTCACCCTACGCATCTTTTAATTTGACATTTCAAAAGAGTGCTCCTGTATGGTACTGTGGTTGTTAAATGAAGGAAATTATATGATAATTTGATTGCACGATGTCGCCAAACCTGCCGTCAGTTATAAGATGGAATATTTTGGGTTTACTTGAGACTGTTGATTCAGCTACTAAAAGAGCTGGTGGTACAGCCCCTGTTTTTCTAGGTCCGTGACTGTTTATTTTTAAAGTCTTTGTCATCAGTGTCAGAGAGAAGTACAGCATCAGTAGGCTGGGATTGCACACCTTCTCTGCCCTAAAACCACTCAGTCTGAAATATTCATAAGTTCTGTTATTAAAATATGAGTATATCTGTACAGCCACTAAATATTACACTTGTATCCCTGGGTGTCTCTGAACTGATTTATGTCAATTTCAGATACTGGATTCTGGAATTTCCTGCAGAATTTAACTTGGATCTTGGGCTGATTCGTTTGACTGAAGAGTTTCGAGAATTAGCCAGCCAGCTTGGCTATGAGGACCACATTGATCTCATTGATATCTCCAGCATGTAAGAATGTCATGAGCTTCAGCATCTTTCTCTCTGTTCTCTGTAGCAGCAGAATTCTAATTCTGTGCAAAATATGAAAGTATTAAGGGCCATCCTAATCTTGAGAGAGCAAACAATCATTTAAAAAATAAACCTATCTTACCTTCTGAATTTGGGATTCTACATGTAGTTTGACACTGAAGTCTCTTATCTATGCATAAGTATTTAATATAAACAGTAAAGAAATAATTTTCCTGATTCTTTTGAAAAAGCTAGTGCTAATTAAATGATTAATATTACTTTCTTCCTGTTACTTTTCATACAGAATGACAAGCAATGCAGTGATTGGCACATTGTGTAAATCTTGTGTTTTCTTAGGGAAGCTTTTTTGTTCTCTTATCTGTAACCTGCCTATTTTTTCCAATGCATTTCTGTGTGCTTTTTTCTATTATCTAATTCAATAATCTTTAGCACTGACACGTGTAATTTTCTTGCACTGAAGTGATTATACTACTATTTCCATGACTTCTAAGAAGTTACCTTTTAAACATCACCAAACAGGCTCTTATATCTCACCTAATATTGTAGAATTTCTTTTAAAATGTGGCACAGTCAAAATTATTTTTCCTTATTTAAAAATCAGCCTAGCAACCTGGAAGGACAGCCCGACTAATCTCAGTGAAGGCTGCAAGATTTTGTGCAAGAATGCCAGTGAAATCACATGAAAGTTAGCTCTTCAATCTTAGTTTTAAAATATTAAGTCAGGAACCTCTTTCTGCTCTACAAAGTGCCTTTGCTGTATTTGGGTAGGAGTTATTCCATTACTGGAAGCAAATGGTTATTTTACTTGTAAGCAAATGGTTTACATTGTTATGCACAAACACCTTACTGTTTTGTTGGTTGTTCAACTGATGGTATTACTACTGTTCTGTTATTTTATGGACTTGTGGTCTTACAGAGTTAAAATTAATTCTTGATTTTATTGAAGGTGGCTTTTTTTTTTTCTTAATCAGAATTTGACTTATTTTTCTTGTATTTCCAAGGCACTTTTGAATTACAGCCTCCTGTACGTTGTCCTTTTCTTCTGATGGAAACCTGCTATCATGCATCTTATGCAGAAAGGATATCTCTGAAATCCTTACCCCTCATTATACACCTGAACATTATCTTATGCTGATTGTTGTCTGCTAGAGGTTACAGATAGATCTCTTGATAATTTTATGTAAACTGATGGCTACTACTCAAAAAGAAATGAGAATTGTGTCTAATTTTCTGTTGTAGACCTTCCTATGACTGGATGAGAAGAGTTACACAAAGGAAGAAGATTTCTAAGAAAGGAAAAGCCTGCCTACTGTTTGATCATCTGGAGCCCATTGAACTAGCTGAACATCTCACTTTTCTGGAGCATAAATCTTTTAGGAGAATTTCTGTAAGAAGTCTCCAACTTTGTTGTTTGCATCTAGGATCCTGTCCTAGGAAAGAGCATTCATATTGTTTAAGAAAACATTTTTTTTTTTTTACATTTCATCTACTGTGTAAGAGAATGTGCTGACATATTGTCTTCTAGCAGGCAGTTCTAGCAGCTAAAACGACCAAGAAGTCAGTATTGGCTGGTATTGCTACAGCTCCCTACACAAGCTGAAGTTTCATCATAAGCTTCTGAAAATCCAAATTTAAGGGAGAGCTGAAGAATATTTTCCAGAAGTTTTTGGGAAATCTAATTCTAGTGGTAGCTATCCATGTGGAACGATATCCATGAATACACAGGGAATGAACAATATCAGAATGAGCAAGATTTAGCAGAACTAGCTGCTTGTGCTACAAATTGATCGATTGATGTAGGAGGAAGGCATAGGAAGAGAAAAACTGGTGCATATTAGCTTCTTGAGTTGCAGTTCAGGCTTCTGTGAATAGCTCCTCTTGACTTCAGCAGTGCCCAGATTTTGCTCTTTATATCAATAATGCTGTTGATCAGGTATTGAAGTGAAGTGAAAGCTCCTTTTTATATGCTTCTTTCTTGTAGCACTAGGTCATTCCTATACAGTATCACTGTATCATTGTATGAAGATGTCAAGTAAAACTGCACAAAATAAAATGTTTTAAGTGTTGAGTAAATCATGGGGAAAAATGATTCCATAAAAGTAATAATCATATTCATCATGCATGCCTTAGTATTATCTGGCATTCAAATGCTGAAGTTTTAAGTGATACAACAAGAACTGTAAATAAAAGAAAAGAAAATATTTTAAGAAAGTACTGATGTGCAGCAGGGTCTGCTGAGCCTCGTTGTAATCACTTTCTAAACAAGAAGAGCTTTGACAGGGAAAAAATATCAAAGTTTCAATTTGACTATGAAGTTGTCCACTATTTTAATGAAAATGTATGTCCCTTTTGTTGTTAGTTCACAGACTACCAAAGCTATGTGATCCATGGCTGCCTGGACAACAATCCTACTTTGGAGAGATCTATTGCTTTGTTTAACGGTATCTCCAAGTGGGTCCAGCTCATGGTTCTCAGCAAGCCGACACCCCTGCAAAGGGCAGAAGTGATCACAAAGTTTATCAATGTTGCACAGGTAGGTCTTGTTTATGAGTCTCCTTCCTCCAATATAATGCAACAATACAGAGATTGCAGGAAACAAGTGAACTGGTTGCTCTTTGGGCTGTTTCCTGAGTGAAAAGTCTGTTCAATGTAACTGCTAGTTATTTCTTTCAGGTGTGGTACATCTGCATTTTTTAGAAGACAAAACAATAAGATGTATTTTTTCTTTGTTGTATTCTGTTTCCCAACTGTCATTATCATGTGTTTCTTGCGGAACTAATCTAATTTAAAAAATAATTGCTAAATTCTCTTACATCCCTTGGCTTAGTTGTTTCCAATGCAGCAATGGTAGGACGTCTCCTTAGCTTGTCTTCTGTGATACTGGATAGCTGCCATACATACGTCCCTTATTTTTATTTTTTTCATGATCCATCTCTCCTGCAGAAGCTCCTTCATCTCCAGAACTTCAACACACTGATGGCAGTTGTGGGAGGTCTTAGCCACAGCTCTATTTCTCGCCTGAAAGAGACTCATTCTCATCTGTCTTCGGAAGTCACAAAGGTATGGTGGACAACAGAATGCAAAGATATTGAGCAGAACATCCTTCTTGAAGGTCTGATGAGTTCTGCAGGTCAGGTCTCACCAACACAATACTTGGATCTTGGCAGGATATCCTAAGGGACTTGGCTTGGGTTTCTCTCAGTGGAGAAGAATCGACTCACAGAGATTCTCTGCTTGATTGCATGTATTAGAGAGAAAATTAACTCTGTTGACTCAGCCACTAGTTATGCTCATTAAAACAGATTAAGGAAATGCTATGAATGCTTTCACAAGGACTTGCTTCTTTGGCTGTTTGTAGGACTGGAACGAAATGACAGAGCTGGTCTCTTCCAATGGAAACTACTGCAACTACCGCAAGGCTTTTGCTGACTGTGTTGGCTTCAAAATTCCTATTTTAGGAGTTCACTTGAAAGACTTGATTGCTGTCCACGTCATTTTTCCTGACTGGATAGATGAAAATAAAGTAAACATAGTGAAAATGCAGCAGCTTTCCATCACCTTGAACGAACTGGTTTCCCTGCAAACTGCCTCTCATCACTTAGAGCCTAATATGGATTTAATTAACCTGCTAACAGTAAGTATTGTGCAACTTCCAGTTTACTTCTGTTATTTAGATGTCGAATGCCAATACGACAAAAAGTTGAGTGTACATTGTTATAACTTTTTTTTTTTTTTTAATTTTAAAAAAGAGGCAATGCAGAATAGAAACAGGTTCATGTGAGATGTGAATGTATTCAGAGAGTATGTGGTGGCTGGATACAGAAACAGAAAACAGTTGCATCGATTCATTTATTTAAAAAAATTAATAATGGAAAGAGAGATGCTTCTGTATTAGAAGGAAAAAGTTCTGACTAGTTAGAATTTAGGTTTTTGCAAAGTTTGGGCTATGTGTTGGCATACTTACATCAGTGAAATTCTAACTTGGGAGTAATTTTGTTCCTTCTCCCCTGTGCTTTGTAAATGACAGAGTGTTCTTCCTATACCTTAAGTAAATGTATTCCTATATGATGTTAAATAGTTCCTGAAAAAACACCCACAAGTGTCAGCGCTGAAAGGGATTTATTTTATGTCTCCTTTTTTTATATGTAGACAATTAGTGTCATTTGATAATTAATACAATGCTTAACTTCAAAACATATTGAAGCGTGCCCCCTGAATCTACTGACCAAATCCTGCTTCTGCTGAAATTTTTTCAAATTAGCATTGATCTTAACCGCAGCAGCATTTGATCCATGCACCATGGTTTGATTAGGGGCAAAAACCAGTTGGAATTAAAGACAGGAGCAGTGAAACTTGGAGGAAAGGAATGTTGTTCATTAAAACAGTTCATGTTGCATGCAGACAAAAGCCAGCCATCCACTCATCTGAGAGCTGTTTTTTAAAGATGTCACTTTAGATAAAAAGGACTCTCCCGACGTGTGATCATTTTATGCTGTTTCTATTCTTATTTCACTTTGTCTATCAGATCTCTAATCCAGACTGGAAGAGAAGCTGCTTGCTGTCATTAAGTCAGTAGAATTCTTTTCTAAGTAAACTTAGAATCAAGCAAGGTCTGTCTGAGACAGAATAAGATAGATTTGAGAACTTTTCCAGTGATTCTGTTTATTTTATTGGCTAGCATGAACTTTTCTAGACCAACTTTTTCTCCAGATTTCTTTTGTCCCTTTTAAATGAAAGACAAAACCTCAAAGACAGGGAACGACTTTAGCTCTGAACTGCTGTGCTCATCGCTGCCTGGAGAGGTGGGAGCTGAATTCCAGCTTTTTCTCAGTCAGGTTATGGACCTGAGCTGAATTTCATTACTTGCCTTCTTCTATGTGAATACCTTGAGTGGGGGCTATTGAGCAGGAGCTTGGATTTGTTCCTCTCACTTTACTTTAAAATGCTCAAAGATATGTTTATCAGAAATTATGCAGAGTTTGTACTTTGTGGTGGATTTGTTCTGGAACCAATCAGGTACAGAGGCTGACAAAAATGAGCCTGAGATTGGAGCTACCAATCTGGTGTCACTTCACTGGAGAATAGGGCAAATTTTTTCTGTTGCACTTTGTATAAAGCAAATGGGAGCACATCCAAATCACAACTGGTGGGGCAGGGAAGAGAAGGGGCCACATATAGCCCACGGTAATGCCTCTCTAATTTGATAATAGATATCTATCTATCATCTTGTTTTGTTTTAGTAGGGATTGAGAGTTGTTTCTCATCTCGAGTTCACACTTTCTGACAGACTTGGCTGCGAGTAGGGGGAAGTGGAACATCAGATTTTAGAGAACTGAGGAATAAGAAACTGAGCACCCAAGGGCAGAAATTAGACAATGTGAAGTGAGAAATGGAAGCTGAACTACTGCTGTCGTTTTGATTACCTGCCACTCTCTTTTGTGTGACAGTCTGCATTCCAAAAGGAGCTGGAAGCATCAGATTTTTCTAAGACTTGCACTTTGATATCCATCGTTGTACCAGCATGAGTTCTTGTAATTTACCTATTTTTCCATTTTAAAAATATCCCTTTTGTCAGCAAAATGAGATTTTATTTATATTTATATAATATTTCTTCCAATCTCTATTTCATTTACCAGGAAAAGTAATTGAGTATAAGAAGAGTACTACTTCATTCATGATGCCCTGATGTATTTGTTCCTCATATTGCACTGCTAGCTTTGTAACAGTTGAGCCAATCTGACTGTAAATAATTGAAGCTGCATGCTGCAGTGTTAATCCTAGGCCTGATCAGGGGTTAAAATTAACTTGTGCCACTTTTTGTCTGCTGTCATGATTCCATGGTTGTAGCTGTTCAGTAGTGATGAAGATGGCCATAGGCATCCTAAGACTTTTCCAGTCTGTTGAGTAGTGTGGGAGTTTTCACTTAAGACAGCAACTTCTGGAAGGTTAGAAATAAATTTGTACAAGATACCACTTGGACCTGAGTTTTTGAAGACCTCATACTATTAGGAATATTCCAACTTCTCTTCCAGTGTATTATGTTTTGTCCTCCTTTGTACCATATGAATACATTTCAGTCCCTTTACTTACAGTTGTCTCTTGAACGGTATTAATGGACTTATGTGGCAGATGAAATGTTTCTAACAATCCTTTTGTTAATAAGAAAGTTATAAATTACAGGCTGGGGGCAGAGAAAGAGAAGAAAAGCTGGGGTCACAGCCCAAAGCTGACAAGAACTGCAGGCTGAAAATAGCTGACCTTGGGATGTGCAAATGGTCTTTTAGCAGATTTAGCCTCCCTTGCTGCCAAAGTCAACCTCAGTTTTCAGAACCAGACGAAGTAATTATTCAGTTTATTGCTATGTCTTTCCACTCTAATATAAACTGTAAACATTTTCTCATCTTTATGTTAATTCCAAAACTGGTAAATGCATGTAAATGCATTGCTAGTGCTGTGCTCTTCATTTGAACATCAGTCAGCTGGCTCAGTTATTTGTCCACTTTTGCTGTTTTCTCAGCAGAAGCCGTTTCTATCTGGGAGAGCTTTTAGTAGGTGTTTCATCCTGATAAGCAATGTGTAAATCTCTTGTCTGGCCTCTGTCCCCTGTGGTGAAGCCTTTTACACCACAGTTAGCAAGTGCCACCAGCCTGGGCCGTGCTGGCTTGACAAGTACATTTCTGGGTGCTGGCTTCCTGGGCCACAGCTTGCACAATGCAATAAAAAGGGCATGTCATGAACTAAGTGGGCATATGGGAATTTGCCTTGGTGTTTCTTTTCCACAGTAATGAAGCTCTGTCTTCTTTGGAGAAGCTGAGCCTTTCAAGTGTTTTGGAAGTGGTTATCGTGGAGGCTGTGTTAAGAGCTATTGAGTGATTACTAGCTTAAAAGCTGGGCCAGAGAACATGGTAGTAAACCTCAGGCTCCTTGATAAAGGTGAATGGGTGAAAAGAGAATTTAAATCTCTCTGTTTTCAGTGTTAGCTGCTGCATGACCATTTTTCAGAGGGAATTGGAGTTCTCCCACAAATAAGGCAATGGTTTGTTTGGAGGGCAATGAGGCAAACACCAGGTTTAGTTGCACAGGAAGCTGCAAAGGCTGAGAGCAAGCTTTAATGATGTGAATTCTCACTTGAGTGTGTGTAAGTAAGGCCAAGTTACTTGGGCAAGAGACCTGAATGTAGCATGACTTGGCTGCCTGGGAGCACGTTACATGCTTACTCTTAGCCTGTGCTCCTCAACCCCCTTTCCTGAGTTATCGCCCACACTTGCTCCATCCTCACTGACTGCACACATTCTACATTCTGACAGCTGAAACCTGGAACAAAGAAGCAAAAGTGGTAAAAACAAACCTAAGCACAAGCTTGGCAGTGCACCCAAGAGGATTAATGGCTCTAGGGACAGGTTCATAATTAGAACCACAGGGGAGTTGGACTAGATGATCTATAAATGCCCCTTCCAACTGAAACAATTCTATGGTTCTATGATTTTCTTATCTGTTGTGCAGTATTTCCACATCATTTTTATTTCACTATACGAATAAAAGCCTGAGGGTAAATGTCCCATCACTTTCTCCGGATAGGAAGAGGACTTCAGTCTCTTCATTAGTCCGCAGTGGATTTATACTGAGTTACAGCTTATTTGGTGCCACTATTTTCCCCCCAGCTATTTTTAGGTCTTCATGGCTATTTAACCAACCTGTTCTAAGACTGTATGCAAATGGCTGGAAAGTCCCCATCGCTTGTACAGTCTAGTGAAGAGAATGAGAAATGTCTAAACAGCTAAACTGAAAGTCACCCTCCCCAACTTTTCTTCAGTAAGTTCCACATATGAAAAAATGCCTTTCTGATCCCCCTCTGCTTTCCTCACACCCCTCCCTGTCCAAATTACTAAGGAGAACAGGACAGCAAGAAGAGTCAAATTAGACTGGAAACTGCCACTGTAAAGGCTGTCCTAAGAAGACTCATTGCATTTCATCTGTTGGCACAAAACTGTAGCCTAAATACAAAAGACGGCTAATTTAACCACTATGTAATCACCTTGCCTAAGGAAAGATGGTTATTGGGCCTGGTCCTGCTCCTCACTAGCTCTGCTCTTCAAGTTCTCTGAAAATAATCATCTGTTACAGCTGTTTATACAGTAGTAATTCTATCTGCCTGCTGTAGAACATTCCAGCTTAACTGGGGATTTGAAAGATGGATGGTAACTTCAAATCAAGCCAATTAATCCAAAGCCAATTGTTGCAAGGAGATGACCACAGGAAGCATGCAATGCTCATCACATTGCATAAAGCTGGCCACAGCGGGGATCACCTCAGCAAGGAAGAGTTCACTGCAGACATGTGCCACTGCACGACCACAGCTGCCAAAGCAAAAGCAAAAATGTTCATTTTACTTCCACTGTACGTAAGCCCCTTCTTTTCCCTCTGCAAATCCTCTAATGAAAAGGATGAGTACATGAAAGAAAAATCTTTAAAAAAGAAAAAACCTAGAAACAGACACTGAAAGGGAATTTGTGTTGCTCAGCATGATGGGACCAGGAATGGGCCAAGCTGGACTACCGAAATATCCTTAGATATGAGGATAGAGCCAGAACCAGTACAAGAGGGAGTGGGCTGAACCAGAGCACAGGAGGCTCCCTCTGAACACCAGGCACAAGCTGCCCAGAGGCCTCCTTGGAAGCCTTCAAACACCTCCTGGGCATTGCCCTGGGCACCTGCTCTGGTGTTTGGTACCAGGGGGACGTATCTTTCTGCTAACAACCCTGTTGTATCTGACCCTGTCTAATAAATATGACTGGCTTTCTCTCTTTCTTACCCTTAGCTGTCCCTGGACCTCTATCACACGGAGGATGACATCTACAAGCTCTCACTGGTGCTAGAACCAAGGAACTCCAAATCTGTAAGTCATCTTTTACTGCTTTTTTTTCATATTATTTAATATTTCTGCATGAAGCTTTTTGTATTTTTGAATGCCCATTAGTCAGTTTCCTTCATATTCACCTTAAACTTTTTATTGTGTATGATTCTATATGTAAAGAAGAAAGAAACATGACAGAGTTTAGCGAAGTCTCCAGAAAGCAGAGTTCTGCTTTATGTGAAGATAACCTTTATAAGCTCCTATCAATTATTTATTGTGTGATAATTACTTCATTTTCTGGATGCTGGTGTAGTTACATAAAATCACACTGAATCCAGACGTGTCTCAGGTAAGCCATGACATTAGCTATAATGATCTAAATTAGCTCATTCAGAACTGAATTTCTGTTGGGCTCCCAAGCAGTGTGTGAACACCTTGAAACAGACATCTCATGATGTTTTAGTATATGTAGCTAAAGATAAAGCTGCATTGGTACATTTTGTATTATGCTTTGTAAGTTAGAGGTAAACATCTTAATAGTTTAAATTTCATTTAAAGTATTGCTCTCTCTCCTGCTACCAGCTTTTGGGACTTCCTCTGTCCTGTGAGCATTTCAACACCCTCACTGCCTGTCACATCCAGCACATGATCCTCACAAGCTGAGCTCCCACTCTGACACCAGCTGAAAATAAGGGTGGCTGGAAATGCACAGTGGGGGGTGAGAGGTGGAGACCAGTACTGGGAGGTCTTTCTTTTCAGTGCTTTTTATACTTTTGTATCTTCTTAAAAGGAGAAACAAGGATGCAAAAGCCCTTAGCTATTAAGTATAGGACTTACCTGACTTTAAGGATAGTTCATCACTTTTGGAGACCGGCTTGAAGACTGTGTACGTGTGGTTTCAATGGAGGATGATGGGCAATATTGAGCAGTTCCACAGTCAGCACTAATTCAGTCTGAATACCTGGAATTTCGCTGATGAGTCTCCTGTCCTCACTGGATATAATTTGACCACAACTGTTCCCTTTGCCACAGTTTTTCTGGCTCCCTCATGCTTCCTTCATTGCATATAAAGTTGGGCAATTACAGCTCTGCACTGTGGGAGGAGTGGGTCATCGCTGTAAGTGAAGAGAATTACCACATTGCTGCTTTGATCTCAAGCCTCAACTTACAGAAAGACAAAAGCAGTATGAGTACCCAGCTGTTATGGGAGACTTTGATGCTATGTTCAATGAATACCCAGGGACTACCTAGTTTGTTTGTTTTTTTTATCTTGTACAGCCAATGGCTATCAGGCATCTCTGCCCAGCACAATTCTGCCACTGTGGGTGCACTAATATAGATTTTTTTTTTTTGCTTCGGTGTAAGATGGATTTCAATGCCAACATAAAGCATGAATATATATAGAGAGAGAGAGTTTGATTGAGAGGCACCAAATATATATATAGAGAGAGTTTGATTGTTCAGAAGAAAGAGGAATGCTCCAGTGGATTTGGTTTTTTTCTGCCACTGTGTACTCGGAGCAGCAGAAGCTCTCTGTGAGTCTGTAGTAGTTTAGCACTAGTGTACTAATTCTTTGAGTCCCATTAACCTAAATATTTTCTGAGAGAAGGTACAGATCAAATTTCCTCTGACCACAGTTGTAAGGGTGTCACCTGGCATGTTTTGTGTTATCATATAAAACGTTGTCTCTAAAAGATTGTTGCATTCCTGTGTGTTTTTAGAGCAAAAATATTTGCCAGCAGGTTGTTTTTCATCACTGTATGGTGACATTAATCTTAAGATTAAAAAGTTTCATAAGTGCTATTGACATGAGTTGAGTGTTTATGTTCCCTGTTTCTTGTTGGAATTCAGATCTGTGGATATAGGGATTGTTTTCTTCTTAAACTCACCTGAGCACACTAACATGGTGAGTCAAGAGCACGTCTTTTATTTTTTTTTTTCCTACTAAACACAGTATAGTATGACCTTGTGACCCTTTCTCATCTCAGTGTGAAAGTCTACAATATCCTTATTATACACAATAATATAACATTTTTCATTAGGCTTCTTTATCTCCCTCTCATGATGGTGGGCTCCTTAGGGGCTCTCTCAAAATGAAAAGGAGTAGGTTTCTATGCTATTCCTGATACTCACTGTGTCCAGAGACTCCCTCCTGCTCTCTACCCCCAGGTCTCACTGCTGTTGAAGCTGGCTGCAGCGCTGCCATGTGGTGCTACTTGTTATGAGAACTCACATTTTGTAATTCAAATTCTAACATCATTGTGTTTGATTGGTCTCCCAGCCTACCTCCCCAACAACCCCGAGCAAGCCAGTGGTGCCACTGGAGTGGGCATCTGGAGTGGTACCTAAGCCTGACCCAACTGTCATCAACAAGCACATAAGAAAGTTAGTGGATGTAAGTACTCAAAAGAATATACTGGTCAAAGGGAACGTTCATTTTGATACTGTAATCATTGCAAACAATTTCATTCCAGGTTTTTGAGCAATTACTGTGGTGGGGTTAAATTTTAAATATCTGTTAACAAATTTGAGCTCTTGCTGATACTTTCAGAAGTATTTCTATTTTAGTCCAGAAATCAGAGCTAATACTTATTAAGCAGGTTTCCAGAGGCAAAAATGGCAAATTTTCAAGGACTCATACATGACTAGGTCCAGAGAAAGTATCTGGAAAGCCTTCCCTGGACCAAGCATTCTACTGTGCTTATCTGCTGGCAAGAGGCAGGTTTCTTGGTGTCGGTATGTCAGTGCCTGGTGGCCAAGATGGTCAAAGCATATTATGCATGGTAAAGATAGTACAGTCTTGGTGTCACTTTGAGAATCTGGTATGAGGTCACAGAGAGTTCCAGCTGTGGTCCTGTAGCTTCAGAATGAAGATGGCATGATGAATGATGCAACAAAGCTACACAGTGGAAGGTCCCTTTGGAGAGACAGAGCCCTGTTGTGTTGGTGTGAGGGACTTTTGGTGAGGAACCAGGAATGCGCTGTAGATAATGAAGCAAGATCTCCTTCTGCTTTTCACAAATTAATAAGTAACTCTGGGGGGAACTATTAAATTCTGATCTTGTCCATATTACAGGTTAATAATTGGGATTATGTAGTAAAGGTAAATTAAAGTCTTCAGTCTCTTAACCAGACTACACGTATATTTTGCGGTTTCCTCTTTGTAGGTGCTCTTTAAAAAAAAAAAAAAGTTTTCTTCTTTCTTAGAAAGATAGCAGAACTGCACGTGGTGTTCCTATATTGTTGTTGTCATTGTCATGTGTTGATAAAAATCACCCCAAACTCTCCTCATTTAAACCACATCTGTTGCAACTCCTCCATCTTTTCTAAACATGGTGGTCAAGGGAAATGCAGGCCCTGGTTCCACAACTTTAGCCTTGTTCAGGACACATGATATTGAGTCTTGCAGAATTAAAACACAGACTGGTTATGGATACAGCTTACAAAAAGACCCACATCACCCTGTACAATTGTCAGCATTTTTCCAGTCTTTGTCATTTGCTAGCTGCCTTGGGTTGTGCTTTAATGTGTTGGTCTCAGTATAAAACGCTTTAATGCTCCTTACAGCTCTCCTCAATTATTGTAAGACAGGATATAGGAATTCTTCACAGCTAAAGAGGGCTTGCAAAAGTTCATGCAATCCTTTAAATTTGATCCCATATCTATGTCTACTTGGGGTAGCTGAGGCCCTGTGATCACAGGGAGCTGGTTGAGGGAAGGAGTAGTTGTTAGATACAAAGCACTTGTGATCTGGATGTCAAAGTATTAGTAAGAAAACAGGACTGAAACAGCACTGTGGCAGAGCAGAAGTGACTGGCTGAAGGCAAGGTGAATCCAAAAATGCCTGCAATTCTATGAGAAATCTGCTGCTGGGTTGTTTGTGCTTGGTTTCCTTTCTGTGATATTCTTAATAAAACAAAAGGGAATATGTCACATGGGGCAGAATTTTAGTGACATTTTCAAAAAAGAAGAAATAAAACCATGAACAACTATGACTGAGGAGATGTAGAGAAATTCCAGTAGTTAAATACTGCAGTCAAGTTTTCTTTAAAAATTAGCCTTTTTTTTTCCCCCTCTATAGTCCAATAAATATGCATATTGAAGTGCCAATTAGCATTTATAGGAATAAAACAATGGATAGAACATGTGATTAGTAAAGTTGAACATTAATGTAAATGTGATTGAGGTTGAAGAGATAGAACAGATTCATGACAGTCTGAGTGGTATGACAATAATTTCCTTCTGTTTCCAGTCTGTCTTTAGAAACTATGATCATGACCATGATGGCTACATTTCTCAGGAAGACTTTGAAAGTATAGCTGCAAACTTCCCCTTTTTGGACTCTTTCTGTGTGTTGGACAAAGACCAGTAAGTTTGGAGCTCTCTTGGTTTGTTAGTTTGTTTTCATTTTGCTTTTTTTTTTTTTCTTAATTTACAAATGCTTCAAAACAAAATGTTGAAGAGGCAATGTCTTTCAAACCTCCGACCCTCTCATGTCTGTCTTCTCTCTTAAGGAAATTAGTATCACTGAATGTTGAATTCTATTCTCATTTAACTACTTATGTTGTAGTAGGTCCTATACTTTCACCCAGACTGGAGTCCTACTTTACCTGATGCTTTAAAAAGCATAGATGCAGCCCCATCTGCCAAGGGAAAGACTGAGTGTTGTCAGTTGTGATGTAAGGATACGCTCCAAAGGACACCGAGCAGCAGGAGGATGTGTTTGGGCAGTCCCTTCATTTTGAATTCCCAGGCTGCCTGGTTTGTTGTTCCCTCACAGTGCTCTGCATGAACCTGTGGATACGTTTGGCAGCTAAATGCCTCCAGACAAGGCTTTCAGCTTACCAGAGCTGAGGATCTTCACAGCCTGGGAAGTAGCTAAAATATCTGTTTAAATAACATACAAAGATTTTTTTATTTGTTTTGTTCAACTGTGTTCAGTAAAACCTTGGACTACTTGAGGACTTGGACCCAGTACTTAGCATGCAGGTCCTGGCTAGATGCCTTCCCATATCTCATGGCCTCTTGTGCTATAGCCATCGAGCACTCCAATTGCTATTTGGTAGGACAGGTGACTAACACCAACCTGCAAGCTCTCCACAGCTGGCTGGAGCAGTGGTGGCCATAGGCCTCAGGAGTCTCCTTCCTTCACACAATGGCCTGCTCTGTGCCACCAAATTCTCTGATACCCTGAACAAGTGAGGGACCAAGGCCCATGCTATGAATTCAGTGTTTGCAGTTTAACGAAGAATAAAAACGACAAAGGCTCTAAGGGAAAGCTTGTTTCTTCTGTCAATACCATTCTAGCACTTTCCAAGACCATCCTTTGTGTGCTGCATGCTTTTTGCAGTGAGAACATACTGCTGGGTTCAGTGTCATTAGCAGTAACAAATCCACTCTACTTTTTTCTTAATAGAGATGGACTCATAAGCAAAGAAGAAATGATGGCTTACTTTCTGAGAGCCAAATCCCAGTTCCAGTGTAAAATGGGACCTGGGTTTATTCACAACTTCCAGGAGATGACCTATCTTAAGCCAACTTTCTGCGAACACTGTGCAGGTTTTGTAAGTATGTTTTTGTAATCGTAAATCTTACTCACAATTTCTTATACTCCAGCGTAGGTGGGGTGAACCTGGCTCCATGCACTGTTCAAGTTTCTTCAGCTTAGCCAAATCTCTCACTGCATGTAGAAGCACAAGGTATTTCCTCCTGTTGTAGCTGCAGAACCCACTTTTGTTTTGGTGTTTTCTGAATATCGACATTTGTAAGAATTGCTGTTGCAGATAAAAAGATAAACTATGTTAGCTAAGGGACATTAGGGACTGTATGAATGGCCTCATGTGGTTTGTCTTAACTTCTTTAATTCGGCTTGATTTCTCATGTAAACAAACTCCAGGGAAAATGGATATCTGGAACGGTAAATGTAGATGAAGCAAAAGCTTGCAAACCTCTCCCAGCCTTTTCCACTTCAAGTGCCGTGAAGAAACATGAATTATTATAGTTTAGATGTCACTTATGGATGCAGCAGACGTGCATGTTTGTGCCTTCACACAGCCACCCAGAGGAGTGAGAAAGGCCGGAGGCCATCAGGGCAGAGGCTCCTGCTCTCTGCCTACGTGCGACCCAGCTCAGGGTGTGAGACCAGAGCATGTCCCTGCTGTTCCATGCTAGCCTGCTGCAGATAGCAGCAGCAAAATATCCTGCTTCTGCTATGTGACCTTTCCCAATCAGTCATTCTTCTTTGTGGCTGAAAGTTACAATGACAGCACTACCAAGTACAAAAACATACCTCATCTCAGACTGGCCCTTTTCCTTCACTTCTGCTTGGCACCCATCACACCAGGACCTTCGTGTTCCCTATCACAGCTGCTGATCAAGGCCAGGGGAAGAAGGAATTCTGTTCATTTCCACTGGAACTGCAGAAGACTCAGAGGTGACAGTCAGTGCTGATTCAGAAGACTGCAGGCAGGCTCTGCAACTCTGCTCCAGAAGAAAGAACATTGGGAACTGGGCTGAGCCTATTGTTTTGGGCTGCCTGTTGCCTTAGGAAGATGTCATCGTGTTCGTGACACTTAGTTCATGCTTGGAAGGCTTCCGTCGCCAAGTTGGGCTGAGGAGTGTCCTGCAATGTCCTCTTTACCAGATATTTTTCTCCCTTATCAGTTTGCTGGCTGTTTTTTTCCATGTCTTCATGATTACAACTGGCACAGGAATAAAAATGAGTAAGGGATTGTGTAGGAAATGGAAATAAGGTCATTTTTCCTGCCAGCTCACTGCATTCACTAGCATTGTCCTGTGGATGAGCTGGGCTGATAGGACAGGAACCAGCCAGAGAATGCACTGTGTGTTTGCTGTGCATTTCAGCACTGTCCAACCAACCATGGGTAGAAACTGTTTTGAACTGATGCAGTGATTCACCATCAAAAAAATGTGAACTGACCATGCAGCAGGATGAATGGATGTGACAGCACACTGGCCCCAGTACCAGTCAAACGTCTAATATTAAAACGGGATGAACTTTAAAGGTCAAGCTAAAATCTAATGCCATTCACAAAGTGAAATCGATATGCTCGCTACCAGTCTCAGTTCCGATCCACGGCTTGAGTTGCACCCCATGTTGGGGTGAGTGAGCAGCCATCCCTTCCAGCTTGGCCACCCAAATTTGCACAGATCCTCTTACCCTGGGCCTAGCTGAAGCCAGCTTTGCCATAGAGCCGTGTCAGATGGATTCAAAGTTTTAGGTCAGTATTCATGTTATCTTAAGGAAAAAGCTCTTCAGAGGGAACAGAGCAGAGCTTTGACAACAGGAAAAGTAATCCACATCCTGTCAAGTGGATTTGACAAAGAGAGCTGGGGAAAGCATAGCCAGAGGTGGCTCTTCCAGGAGGGGCCAACCGCAGCTCCACAGTCACTGCACATCTACAGCATCTGCAGGAAAAGATCAGCCTGGTGGCCTTCTGCAAAGGAGGGATGGCAGTAGTAGATGAAGAGCAACTCATGTAATCTACCTGGATTTCAGCAAGGCTTTTTATATGGTTCCACACAATATTCTTGTCTCTAATTGGAAAAAAGCAGGCAGTTCTGTCTTACACAATATGCAGGGTTTTTTTTTTACTCTTTCCTTTGTGCTCCATATGGGCTGTGGCTCTTCCTTTTGGTCATTCCTTTACTCAGCACATTTCTCCCACACACTGCATGCCTTCATAGAATCACAGCAAGGAGCCACATGCAGTTTCAACTGTCTGATTTTGCTCACCCTCCCTATTTATGTTTTGAGGGAATTCAGGATAAATAAACACTGCTCTCTCTCATCTTTTTCTTTAGAACTGGACTACTCTCCTTCTGCTGCTCAGAGTGAAAATATTTGTTTTTATAATGCCATTGTTGTAGTTACCTCTCTTCTGAGTGTACAGATAACAGCTTGCAGGGGATTTTTTTCTTCTACTTCCAAGCTCACATCACGATGACAGCTTCCCACAAGCAGAACATGCACATGCTGCCAGGTGGAAGGTCAACGTTCGATAAGGACAGCCTCTAAGAGGAGGCAAAGAGGAGTTCAGTGACTTGTCTGTCTGTTTCGGGCTTCAACCATTCTTAATGGAAGCAGTCAGGTGAATGGATCGGTCCATGTTTGGGGACCAGTTCCAAAACCACAGTGACTTTGTCCCCAGTGGTGTTTTTGTCTGCCATGCTTGAAGAGCACAGGCCATTCATGTGGCTGGAGACCAGATGTGCCATGGGAATGATCCCTCAGATCGTTCAAAATGAGCCAGAAACAGAATGTGCTTTGCTGGATTTGGTAAGCCTGATAGGACAGTGATTCTTTTACCCATTCCTGGCAGTATGCATCAGCTGTGCCGCTCCTTCTCTGGTAGTCCCACTGCAGGCAGGAGTAAGGGGGAAGCCACACAAGGCTTATCACATTTAGAGGAGGAGGTCTGCCTGACAGGAAGGGTGTTAAGAGCAGTTGTATCCTGTTTGTGCTTCTGTAGCCATTGGTACTTCCTCATTGTGATCTCGCTTTCCGTCCGGCTTTCTTTTCTGATTCCTTGACCTTTGTTTTGTCTTTCGTTGCAGCTCTGGGGTATAATCAAACAAGGCTACAAATGCAAAGGTAAATAAATATACTGCATGGATTTTTCACAATTCAGGTGGTGGGTTTTAGCAGAAGTCAACTGTATTTTTCACTGAAATGGCAGCCAGATTTTGCTTGAGTAGCCCCTACTGGCTGTGACCAGCAAGTGGTTGCTGCATCCCACAAAGCCTCACTGTAGCAGGAGAACACCAGTGCTGAAGGCCCACAGCACCCCTGGGATCTGCAAGGTGTCAGTTAGTGCCAACCAGAAGTGGCATCTTGGAAAGTCAAGTGTCCTTATTCTAGCAGGGAGACATCCTGAAATACATACCCTGAGACCTGGGGTCAGGAAAAGGTCTGCTGGCAGCACTGTCCATATCATGTACATCCCCATGCCTGTACTGCAGGCTTGCTGCCCGTGCAACGCATCAGTGGCTGAGCTAGAAATAAACAAATATTTAATTCTTGGACTGCCTAGCAGATGTCATTGCAAGATCTTCTGCAGAAGTTCAGCTTAAAAAAAAAGTCCGAGAACTCTCATATCTCTCACTTTCCTTCACTAAATTTTTTTATTGCTCACACCGTACCAAGCAGATGAGAACAAGAAAGCTGTAGTGGTCCTTGTTGGCCCCAAAGGCCCAAACCTATTTATTTCTCTGGCTGCAGCTCTGTTATGCACAATGCTGGAGCTTCATGATCATGTGTATAGGCAAGCTCCTTCACATAGTCTTAGTCTGGCACCTAGGAGAAGGGTGAAGGATTGTCAGGATGGTTTCTTTAGGATACTCCCTGTTCCTGTGTCCCTGAACCACACATGAACTTCTCCTTTGCAGGGGTGGGGAACATGCCCATGGTCTGAGCAACTACAACAGAGCCAGCTGTGGGCTATGCTCTTACCATCAGGCCACGGGAAGGAAGGTAAAAGTAAAGTTTTGCCACAGCAGCTCTATAAACTCAACTTGAGATCTGAAAGCTGAGCGCTGTCCTGCATCATTGCTTGTAACTGTGGCCCAGGGGAGGGAGCAAAAGTGGCTCTGCAGAATCAAAACTAACAGGCAGTGAAGCATGAGGGTAAGAGCTGAGCTTCTTGCTCAGATCTTGGTGGTCAACAAGTACAGCCAGTGCCTGTTCCCATCTGTACCACCCACTGCAAAACCACAGCAGGGAAGGTCCTCCAGTACCACTCAAAGCAACAAACCAATGGGAGAAATGAGAACTCTTAACCACTGCTCTTTGTGCGCTCATGAAGTCATTTCTGATGACAATATCATCTCCCTCTTTCCTTCTGCTGCTGGAATGCCATATATTTTTTTTTTTAACATAAAAAATGATCCACTTTTGTAACCGTATTTGTTTGGTTAAGTCTCTCCAGCAACATGTGCTGACAGCCCCAAGGGACCACCCAGGGGCTGTGACTTTACTATTCCCCCCCTACAGACTGCGGTGCCAACTGCCACAAGCAGTGCAGGGACCTGCTCGTGCTTGCCTGCAGGAAATTCTCCCGAGGAACCTCTGTGGGCAGCAACCACGGCTCCCTGCCCAGCAGCCCTTCCCTGCCACCAGGTGAGAGCACCCTTTTGTTTCTATTTTCTTTCCCTGTTCATTACAGGGGAGTTGGGCTAGATGACCTTTGAGGGTCCCTTCCAACACAAACAATTCTATGATGACTCTTTAAAGGCAGTGTCCTTATTGCCACTTGTCATTTTCCCTTTGTACAAATGCACCACTACAAACCATCATGCAATTGCATACAGTGGCACATAGAGCCCTAGTCTTGAAAGAGATCTGACTACTAAAAGCTTCCATAAGCATTCCAGAAGAACAAACATTTTCTTCTGAACCCTTAAATCCCACCTTCCCCTCCCCTTAACCAAGTTTTAAGATATCTCTCTGTAAATATTTAAAAAGAAAAAAAAATTACCTTCTCATTCAGCCCAGGATGAAGTGTTTGAGTTCCCCAGCGTCAATGCAGAACACCAGGACCTCGATGGCAGAGCCATCACTCTTGTCACCGGCTCCTCCCGGAAGATTTCAGTGCGGCTGCAGAGGGCGACCGCCAGCCAAGCAACGCAGACGGAACCGCTGTGGCACGAACCGGGCTGGAGCGATTCAGGGTCTCACACTTTCCCAAAAATGAAGTCCAAGTTCCATGGCAAAGCTGGGAAGAACAAAGGCTTTGCAAAGTGGGAGAATGAAAAGCCCAGCATGCAGGCCAATGTAGACATAGATGCTGAGGCTCCTCAGCACATCCTGGAGCACAACGGCATAGAAACGCTTCCTGAAAGACAGGAATCTGAGGTGAGCAGAACAGAGGTCAGGGCAGATTACATTCTGCTAATCCATAAGAACGTAGCCTTGTAAGTCATAATACCAAATCACCCATAGAAAATTATTTTCTACACAGTGGCTTGTACTTACTGTAACACAGGGGTTTGGCTCCGAGTGACAGTGCTGTTATGAGTTGGAATCTTTTATTTTTGAGAATCATTAACATACCTGGCCAAATCCTCCTGTACTCTGCACTAGGTCCATAAGAAGGAGTATTTTGATAAACATGTGTGCTCAAGTTAGGGGCCTGGTTGCTGCTGTTTTCACCCACAGTATGTGCTTTCATGGCCTCATGCTTTGATTGATAATTTTTGCTAGAATGTAAGTGTATGTTTTATGTTTTCTTCTGGTTACAGGATAGCTGACTGCTCACCCTGAAACACCAAAAAACAGAGATGGCAATAGTAATACAGCAAAAATTGACAGACTGCCATAGACCACATTTGGTCATGGGAAGTTTTCCTGTACCTCATACTTCTAAATTCAGCCATTACCCTGTTTTCCTAGCTGATAGGCGTTAAAAAAAGCACTATTTATTTTCGCACACGATTAAGCCATTTGGAAGAACACTGCATGGACACAGCAGAACAGATCTCTGCACTCAGTGTTTTCTCTTGTATGACTTTGTGGAAACTTCCCCTCCATGCCAGTGAGGATATATTTGGCATCATTTAAAAGTTCTGCATCATCTCAGCATGCCTGCCAGCAACAACAACGGCGAGGACAGAGGCCAACTATCCACATTCATTTGATAACACTCCTTTTTCAGAGGCTTATAATGATCTCTTAAGGAAAGAAGTAGGCGTGGATGTTGATTAAATCTCAAAAAACAAACAAACAAAAATGAAAAACCCACAACTCCTTTCAAAAAAGTCCTCTACGCTGAAATCCCTTGCACTCCTGGGGTTTTGAATTTTGGACACATTTACACTGCTACAATGAGCACACATCCAGCACAGTGATACCTGTTACCAGAGGGAGGATCCTTCAAGCACATGGCTGGGAGTGAGGAAGTTCCAGGACACCGTGCAGGTGTTTGGTGATACTGCAAGGGAGAGGTGTCCTCTCTGCCAGCACTGGTTATGGTAGAATTAGCATGTAATAAATGTCTTAGTTTTAAGTATGTGTCTGGATGTGCATATAATACTTGATATTTTTCTTCAGGATAGCAAGTCACACATGTTAAGACTAAAATATGACACTAAGTATACATCCAAATTAAGTTTGTTAAGGTAGGCTCCAACTCCTCCATCTGCAGTGACTGGAGAAGCAGGTGTAAAGTGAGATTTCTCAGAAGCATTAAGTTGCCTGAGAAGCAGTCTTCACATGGAAAAAGCAAGGAAAATAAAGCCCAAGACAAAGCTCATACCTGAACAGCGTGGTCCAAATTAGCAGACAAGTTGTTATCTTCTTCTCCCTTTGCCTCCCCACAGAAATAGATGTGTGTGGGGAACTCAGTCTCTGAATCAAAGTATACTCAACCCGAGTATAAGATGTCCTACAAAATTCAAGTTATTGCACCCTTTACCAAGCAGTCAAGGCCTGAGGGTGAAGGAGGGCTTCCACTGGCTTCCCTAACCAAACCTGACTGACTCCTCTGTGGTAATCCAACTGTACACTGTGCTGTGCCAACATGGGGCCTGCTCAGCTGCGCAGGTTTCCTTTGTTTCACAACCCCCCTAGTAACAATGGTAAAAATCTGAGGAGAAAAGGCAGAACTTGCTCTTACTGCTTGAAACTCAGAAACAAGCACTACAGCAAACACTGGGGCTTAGCTCTCTCTGCTGTGGGCAAAGAGCAGAGATTAGCAGAAATACATCCAGTGCTGTCTGTGATGGGTCAGGTGATGGGTCACCACACACTGACTGCTCAGGCACCGTTACAGCACGCAGCTTGCACACAATGAAAATGATGTGGTAGAACATTTGAATAGAGAAATTTAGTTGCGATCCAGGCTGCTGATGGATCTGTTGAGATAAGCCTTTTAACACTTCATAAATGAAATGTTCTTGTGAAATTCCATTCCTCACATCATGCAAGAGTTTTAACCAGTGCTCTTTCCATACAGCTCAGACTATTTCTCGCAGGCTTCTGAAAGTCAGTGGTATCTCTTGGTCTGAAAGGTATTTGCTCTCCTGTTCTGTCAGGCCCATGGTCCACACCCCCTTCTGTTTTAATTTGTTAGACAAGAAAGTTTCTAGTACACAAACTTAGCAACTCCTCAAGATATTTACAGGCTTCTTCTCTAAGTTGTTCAAAAGACAAGGTGTTCCATGTCCTTCCAAGAAGGCCTTCTAAAGGACACGTTTTTCCTATGTATACCATCATCAAGAGAAACTCACTCTTAAGCAAAAAGTCACATCCTTTACAGAAGCAGCTCTCACTTTCTGGGTGACTTTCTACTTGCTATTAGACTGCTTGAGTTTCTGTCTACTGCAGAAATCTCATCAATGCATCTTCTAAAGCCCAGCACCTTTGGGCAGCAGTAGCTGGAGTTAAGTTGTAGATCAAGCACAGGTTACACACACTCACATAAACACAGCTGATCCTTCAAAGAAGACCATTAAGATGTCCAAGAAGGGCTCATGAAAATTTTGAGATTCCTGCTGGAAACCCTTTGCTTTAAGCATCTCAAGAAGGAGAGTAACAAGTGTGTTAAGAAGAAAGACGTTGAATAGAAATATATACAGCCAGCTCTGAAAAAAAGCTAAACTTGTCAGTCAATGTAATCTTTCAACAAAAAAATGCATTAACAGGCTGTTTGCAGCAGAGCACTGATTTTTTAGTTCCACTACAAGCAACCAAGAGTGGGAGAGCTCGCAGGGTAGGAGCAAACATTTTAAGAAGCTGGTGTAAGACAAGCTCTTCACATTGAAGGAAGCCTAAATACATAAAATAAAAAAGTCTTTTTTTCTCTCCTGCTTTACAGTCAATGCCTTCTCCTGAGCAGGGGCAAGAGTTTTCCTCATCTCACAAAAAACAACTTTAGTTCCCAACCTGGCCACGGCAACGAAGAATTTCTTGTTTGATTCTCCTGATTTCACAAAAAGCAAAATCTGCCAGCCATTACTATTCCCAACTGCACTATGCACCTCTGTTGTTCTTGGTGAAACCCTGTCTGCAAAGAGAGCAGTTCAAGGAGAAGGTGCAGTAGTGGCACATGCACTGGATTAATGAAGTAGCTGAAGTGAAAAGAATCCCAGACGATGCTGGATACTTCCTCAACCATCGTTCTTTCCTATCTCAATCTCCAGGATCTTTAAGAATCTGGGTGGAGAGATTTTTTTTTTTTTTTTTAAAGAATGGAAAGAAGAAACATTACACCAAACCTTATTTGTATGCCAAGTTGTATTCTTTGTCTTTCACAGATAAAGCTGTAAATACAAGCAATGAGAGCAGGTGAGAAATACAAATGCTTAGGGTAGACCCTGTAAGAGATGATGTGGCTCTTGAAGCCAAACCCACCAGGAGTTTGTGCTTCCACAAAACCTGGACAACACCCTGTGTTACGAATAAGGGAGTTTCAGCTTTGCCATCAGCTTTATTAAGTAGCCTTGACTACTGTGTAAGGAGTCAAGGGAACAACTAGCTCTGAATGAACCGTAAAACATATGTCAGTATTTCAGCTGTCTCTTGCTCCAGGTCTTGCCCCTCCTGCCTCCACACCTTAGTCAGCCTCTGGATTTTAAAGCTCTATTAAAAATAAATAAAAAATAAAATTCCTAGACTAGTTAAGTTCTAAAAGCAGTATTTCTCAGTCAGCATAAGTCAGAGAAAAGAAAAGTTGAGAAGGGAAAAGGGACAATAACATGCATGCTAATCAATGCTAGTCCAAAGCACAAACTTGAAGACGTGGGGCTTTTTCCTTTTAATACAGAGGATAAAAATCTGAGCTGCAGAGTCAGTTCAGGAGTAACTGCTGCCTAAAATTTCACATTTCTGTAATGGAGTGAGCTGTCACTCCCATGGCTCAGGAACTCCTCTGCACAAGCCAAAGTGAACACAGATCCTGGTGAAGCCACCAGTGCTTTCCCCACAGGGAATTGGCAGCCCTGCCTGGGCAGCCTGAGCAGCCAGATGGGGATCCTTCCCACTTGGGACACAAGCTCCAGATGTTTCAGGTGTCTCTTATGTGAAATATCTACATGTGAGGGAACTTGGACACAGGAAAAACAACACCACAGAGAACAAAGAACAGACAGATGGGGACTAAGTGTGGGAAGAAGAGTGCTAGGAGCGCTCTCCCTCTCTACGTGACACCAAGAATGGAAGGGGATTCCAATGGAGACCAAGCAGAAGGGGAAGGAAGGAAGGAAGGAAGGAGATCCAAATGCAGAATTTCAGGGAGACAAGAGGCAGGAGAAACTGGGGCTTGTTGTTCTGTGAATATCACAGAAAAAAATATATATATCTACTCAAGGTTTGCTTCACTCAGCATCAGCCTAACTGATGGGCTTTGACACAGTGCAGAAAACAGCTCCAAGTACTTCTCAAGAGTCCCGATAGAGTTTGCCAACACAGGGACACCAGAGAAACAGATGTAATTTTGGAACGAATTTTTGAGTTATCAGCACCAACTGAAGTGGATTTTCAAAATAAACATTGCAGCCAACACGTCTCTCTCAGGCTAAACTCATTGGAAAATCTATGCTGAACTCCAAATTGCTATTTACAGCTGCTGACAGCCCAGTCTTAAGAGAAAGAAAAGCCATCAGCAAAAGGCTACTGCTGGGGCAATGTTCTATTTAGCCAAAGAGTCTGCTTTTTCCATGAGTTAAGCCAATGCCGGAAAGTTTAAAGAGTTCTTATCACCTTCATCTCTGCTTCATGTGTGAAAACGAGTTATGACCTTCCACCTGCCCACAGTACAGGCAGACTCACTCTTTCTTTGGTTTTACAATAGTGTTTTCCTAGTTTCTGACTTGTTTTTCTCTCCTCTGTTGTGGGAAAAACCCACGTGGACGACAAGGGAAATTACTGGACAATAAAGGGGAAACAATGACACTGACAGCACTCCAAGCTGTAAAAAGCACAAAATAAACACAAAAGAAAAAATATTTTTTCCCTTCTAACCTTGTTTGTTTAGCCATTAGAGGTACTACTTTTTTCAGCCAAAGAGAGGAGAAGGCAATGTTTACAGCTGGCAATAGCACTTGCTTTTTCAGTTTACGTCCCTTTGAAAACGTGTTACCTGAAAAAAAAAACAACACATCAATATTTTGAGAGCCTGCACAGAGGAAACAGTAGTTCACATTCACATCACGTACTGCTTGCTGGTCATAGCACTGACGTGATTCTAACATAAGGGTACATTAAGCGGCTGATAAATTAAGCTTGGAGTTGATTATAAGCCACCTTGTTTGAGATTGCTAAATCATGCTCAGCTTCTTCAAATACAGACGTTTTTATTGCATGCCTTTTGTCCAAAGGAATCAGAAGATGGGAGGCAGCAGGATCAAAAAGTGGCAGCAGGATTAAAGGCCTGGCAGTCTTCAGCAGTAACAACATCGCAGTCTTAAACATGGCAGAACTAAGGCTAAGCCACGTGAAATGAGTACAGTCAAGACTTAGTGCATGCTGGCCTCCATCGGCCTAACAGGGAACTGAGCTAACATCTGTGCTCCCAGAACCCACACAAGTCTCCTGGACACCTGACAGAGTCATCAGGCTCTAGTGAGAGCCATCTACTCCCTCTGCAACTCTCCTCAAATCAGCAGCGTTTAATTTTCATTTCCCAGGTGCACGACCCATCACAGGGAATTACATTCACAATACAGAACATTTCATGCTCCAGTATACTGGCACAAATCTTGCTTACCCCCTCCCACCTCTTCCCAGACCCATTTGAAGTACGTGGCTGATAAGACTGACTTCTTAGTAGGCACTAAAAAACATAGCCCAGCGTTTGGGGCACTTGCTGCATTAATTAATTCATGTGTGAACAGCATTTTCATGAAGACATACAGCCAAAGCCCCCATCATGTTAGAACAAATAACCCGTATGGTCTAGCTGAGAAATCCAACCCATAGCTATGGAGCCTCTCTGGGGCCACTGCTCGTAATGGCACACATCACCATGAAGCTGCACACCTCAGGGCTTTGTCTGGTCAGCCAACATGAATCCTAAATGATAAACCAGCTAGGAAACAGCTACAAAAGGCTCCCTAGGGCAGGTGAAAGCTCAGCTTGATGTTCTTCCCCTTGCTGCATCACAGGTTTGCACAGAATAAGTAATGAACTTTTATCAGTTTCTTAGAGCTGCAAGGAAAATCCGGCTGTGACCACAGTGCAGATAGAACATGTACCAATGTCCTAATGTGGGAAGCAAGAGTGTGTCCGGGACTACATCCTGCTCCCCACGGTCATTTCATTGCATTATGCATGTTGCATTTCATTGCAACACTTGAGAGAGGATCATCCTAAGAGACTGTAGGAAAGCAACACAAGTGAAACATCAGGGAATAAAAGCTACTGGAGAAAAAGAAAGGCAAAGGGAAGAACAGAGCACGATGCCCAAAACTTTTGGAAGAAAAAGAGGAGTGTCAAACACGACCATCTTTAAAGGAAGAACACTTTGTTCCACTACACAACACTTGCTTACTTAGTTGCCTTCTTCATCTCCTGGAGTTCTGCTTTCGATCATTGCACAATGAAATGCAGCACACATATCCAAACCGCCCAATAACCTCCATGAGCCATCGTTGCTCTCCCAACTTCCAGTCATGAGACTCCTTCCAGCATAGCAGGAATTATGTTTGCAAAACATTATCAGGGCATCATACAGACAATAACAAAGCAGTGGCTGTTTGCTTTCATTAATAAAGGCTGCTCTCCCCACAAAGTTTGTTTTCTCCGGAGAACAAAGAAGTCACAGCACACTGGGAGGAAACAACAGAGTAAGGAAAACAACAACAGCTGGCAGAAGCAAAGCATTTTCTTTCCTGTTGGAAGACTAAAGCCTCCTGTTTTGCCTTTTTCACACTCCCACCTCCCCCCCAAAATTGCTCCCCCCCCAAACAACATTAAAGCTGGGGTCAGCTCATCCTAGGACCTGGAAGAGGGAGGAGAAATTGTGTATTTTGAGAACAAGTTGGGTAAAACAAGAGGGAAGGGAATCTGTGTCCCCTCATCCCCAGCATTTCACCACACCATCTCAGCATGCAAAGCTGAGAACACCCAGAACAGCAAGTCATAGCCGTGCAGAGAAACTGGCAGCTCTGCCACAGGAAGATCTCTGAAGGTGCTGATGCAACTTAACCAGAGGCTCTCTAAAGAGCCTATTGGATTCCTTCTCCCTAAATACAGGTTTGCAGAGCTGGCAGAGAACGCTGGTCTCCTTACAGGAAAAGCTGTATGAGAAAAAGCAGAATCTGTCAACTTGGAGCCATTACATTCCCAGACAAAGGCTCTTTATCGCTGTCCATCTATCAGTCTAGGACTGTCCAGTTCAAGAATCCTATTTCTTAAAAATAAATAATTAAAACTGATTGTTCTTACATGAGTGCAACTAGTCACCAGCTAATGTTCACAACAAGGTATTACTCTCTCAACAACAGAGATGCATTATCTGTAGCATGCTGCTGCAAGAAACCAACACCTTCGTGAAGAAACACTCATTTTAGATGAAGTTAATATTTGAACTGTAATTACACTGAGATCAATCTATTTCAGTGATCCCAATGATATGGATTCAGTATGGAAACTTTTCCCTTATTAGCATCATTAGATTTGTTTGAAGCATTAAAAAACCAACAATAGACGTCAACACAAATTCTCAAGTGCCTTGAGAGACCTTCACTTCCTGCTTGTGAACCACTAGCAGCACCTAGTGGTCAGAATAAATAGGGCCTTTTCAGATTGGTCAGGTAATGAAACATAGGGAGATCGATTCTAAACATTTTATCAGCTTATTTACAGGATCAGCTTGAATCTCAGTAAGGCCAGCGTTACACACTCCTCAAATGCTCATATTATTTCTGTAATCCAATGAACTTCTATCTGTATCTATATGAATCCAGACCTCTGGATACTTCAAGCAGCCCAGGGATTGCCATCAGGTCAGTCTCCACTACAGCTACCCAGACAATAACCTAACCTTCCCACAAGCCCAGACAGCATCAGTAGAGCTCCCAGAAGCATACCACATTCACGTGGCTTGAAGGAGCCACAGCCTGATGATGGCAGAACTTAACTCACATGGAAACCTCCAGCAAGGGAGACTGAGCTGCTACACCAAATCAGAGAAGGAAGAGGACAAACCGAAAACAATGAAGGTCTATTCCTCCCATTCACTCCTGTCCTGACAGCTTTTAAGGAGGCAAAACGCACAGTACATCTGAGATGATTAGACCACCTAAGAGATTAAAACAAAAAAATTGATGAAGCAATCAGAAATAGAAAGAGTTCCCACCTACTGCAGAAACTGCTTTTTACTTATCACCAGAAGGAAAAGAAACCAAAGCAAAGAGGAACATACAGATACTTTTATTGCTCACCTTTTATACAATAGCAAACCTTCAGCCATTTTCTTTCACAGCTTGACAATGTTTATGTACACAAAAAACCCAGCAAGAAGCATTATGTGGCTTTCAGTAAAGGAAAAAAAAAAACACAAAAAAAACCAACGCATAGAACATCAAACTCAGCCAGGCTTTGTTTTCTGCAGCAATAATAAAAGGGCTTCCTCCAGGCAGGAACTAAACTTCCCAGGCCGTAGTGCATTTCTTTAAAAAGACAACCCCCAAAACAAATTGCCCTAGATCTGCTGAGCCAGTGGTATTAACTTGCAAATAAAATAATTTGTCTTTTTTTTCTTTTTTTCTAGCTGATTTCAAGTAAAAATTAAGTTTGAAGGAGGAGCAACTTGTTTTGGATGGATGCAGGTCAGTTTGAATTGCTACACCTAACTACAGGCCTATGTACACTACCAGTTCACAATTTAGCTTAGTTTTAAATAATCTTTGCAGATTTTGGCGGCGGTAAGTCTTCAGACTTGAGCAGGTGGGAAAAAATTTGTTTAATAGAAGATAAGGCTACCAAACGTGACATCGACAGCAGAGCTCATATAATAGATAATAAACCTGTTAGAGTGAAGTTGCTGTGTGGGCCTGCATGTGTGTGTAACTTTGATTAAAACAACAGGACAGCAATCCAGAAGCAATATTTAGCAATGATTTTAGGTCATATAATTGAACAATGGCTAGGAGATGCAGAAATTCCATTGTATATTGCAACATATAATTTTGACTAGACTAGTCTTTATATTTCTCCAATCAAAGTGTCAAGCAAAACACAGCAGGTAGTTTTGGAATCAATGTGTTTTGAGCAGATGTCAGCCCAACATCAAAAAAGCACGACCATTAATTTATGATTAAGTGAAGTGCAGTGAGTAGTTATTTCGCATTCAATTCCGACAGACTGGGGGGAAAGGAAAGTACAGAAAGCTGTACTTAGTTCAGTACAAAACATCCCACCCCAAGGGATTCTGCCTCACATGTACAAACCTGTACCAATTCAAAAGTGATTAAACCAAGACTCTGAAACCAGGTTTTTATTATTTGAGCTCTGCTGAAGCAAAGGTTTTTAGCAACCTCAGCTTGTGAAGTGTCTTCCTTGTCCAAAACCAGACTGATTATACTGATAGCCTCCGTGCTGGAAGTGTTGCTCAAATTGCCCACCTGGATTCAAAATCTGCCCACCTCTGCCTCCCCAGCCTCCTCCTTGACCTCCACGGCCACCACGACCACCGCGGCCACCCCTCCCTCCTCCACGCCCACTCCCTCGGTCACTGTGGGACCCACCATCTTGGTATCTGCTGTCTTGCTGGTAGCCACCACCCCCTTGGTAGCCACTTCCTGTGTACGAAGATGACTGGTAGCCACCATAGCCTCCTCCTTGGTAGCCGCCGCTGCCACCACCACCATGGTAGCCACCCGTTTGAAAACCTACATCTCTGTAGTTGCTATCCCTGTAGTTGGCATCCTGGTTGCCACCACCTCCACCATCTGTCCACCCTCCTTGGAGTTTGTTTCCTCTTCCGCCTCCTCTGCCACCATGATCATAGCCACCACGTCCTCCTCGCCCTCCTCGATCATGGCCTCCGTGATCATGGCCTCCTCGATCATGGCCTCGTCCTCCATATGATGAATCATAGCCTCCTCTTCCTCCTCGGTCATGACCACCATGGCTATGACCCCCATGGTCATAACCTCCTCGCCCTCCATATGAGGATTCATAGCCACCTCTTCCTCCTCGGCCACCACTCTGTTGTGGACCAGACTCTGGTCTTTTCTGCCAGGGTGGCATCTCAGGAGGCGGCGGTTCAATTTCATTGGGCCTTCCTCCTCTGTCAGGCACTCTACCCATTAGCACCTGCAAAGGAAAAGGGACAACTGCCTTAGGAGCTGCAAGATCTCACAGAAGCAGGTTATTTTGTTAATTTTTGTAGCTGTCTTGAAAGACACCTAATATTGATAATGGAATTAAGTCAACAGAATACAAATCAGCAGCAGGGCAGTGCTGCATTCCTAGTAAAGTGTATATACATCTGATGATAGTCACATCTGTCTTCCCACTTCCCTTACTTCCTTTTCAATTTCACACTCCAACTACACTAAAAAGATGCAAGAATTATTTGCAGTAGGAGGTCAAATTATGCCACTATTTGCATTCTAAATGAACTAGAACACTACCTGAACTACAAAAATGGAGAAAAGCATGTATGAATTCACAATTTTAAAAGTACACTTTGGTGCACAGCTCCTGATCTTCAAGATCTTCAAGTTCAGTAAATGTATTTTTGTGAGCCTGTAAAAACCTAGTTCTTGAAACATGGAAGCTGTTTAGTCCAAATCATATTTCTACTATACCATTACTAGAAGTACACACTTGACTAGAATCTCTCATTTGTGTACAGAGGAGAATGTGACCTCTGACATATTCAAAGATTTTAATAGGTTCTATTTATATAGGACAGAAAGTTACTATGTAGGTGTTATTTCGGATATCGTGACAGAATTAGGCAGCAGCAATGCAAAAACATTAGTAATGCTGATAAGACAGAGCAGGCAACTCCTGCTGAAAATAATCAAGTGTTTCAACTTTTTTTCTTCCAGAGCCTCTAAGGAGGGGCACTCTGATCCTTAACAAGTAAAGCTACAGTTCCTCGTAAAGCACTGATGTACAATTTAGAGTACATAGATGTCAGATTTCTTATCCCTTATTTCCAACTTCCATTTACAATCATAAAATGAAAGTAGGATTTATTACTGCATTCAAGTAACTTTAATATTCATGACAGAAAAAGTGATGTTAGCTACTTGTCACCAAGGGTACCTTATTAATGGCACACGCAGTCTTCTCTCGGATGGATCCGCTGCTTGTTCTCATAATTTTTGACAGATCTTGCCGAGCTGCCAAGAGATTTGCAACAGAAATAGTGCACTTAGTGGATAAGAGGGCACGTTTTGGCTGGTAGACTTTAGCCAGCTTTTCTGTCTGACTCTGTTGAAGAAAAGAAAAACAAAACTCAGTCAGCTAAAGACATAGGAAAGCAATCTCACCAGAAGAATCAACTGCAAAAGATGTCACTGCAAATTGAAAAAAAAAAAGTGAATATAAAAGCATTAACAATCACTTTGTAGCCGAGAATCACCACAATAAAGCTAACATCTGTCATATTAACACTATTCTAAATGAACTGACAAGACACTGATTTTCTGACAATCTTAACAGCAACCAAGTACGTGCAGACTTAGTTTTCAGGCAAAGACAGGATAGGAGGGTCATATGTATATAAATTATCACTAATGTGGTACCAGAAGTGGAACAAATTTGAAACTCATTTCAAGCCCTCCTCCTAAGCCTGCACAAATCTCTACCCCACATCCATTCCACCAAGTCCCCAGCCTGCATCACTAGAAAAAGGCTGCAATCACTCTTTTGGAGTCTTTCTTCCAATTAGCATCATCACAGAGTCAAGCCATCAAGAGGTACTGGCATAACTAAATCTCTCAACTACTCCTCTCAGTTCAGTTCTGTCTTGCATACTGTACAGCCCATGCTAGAAATTGGATCTTCAGACTCAACTTTGCTTTGTAATCAATCTCTCTTCCTCTACTGCATTATAGTATTCATATTTCAAATACTTAAGGCACGATAGCAGTTATCCAGTTGACAGAGGTAACAAATCTCTGTAAGTATGCTAGTTACGTCTCTGTGTGGTTAAAGCATAATGGAGGATGCAGTTAAAATAAAACAGATTGCAATCCAAACTCAGCCAAAATGGCTGCAGAGACAGCTGGACCTCTATTGTCAGCAGTAGGAACAGGCAAGGGAGGTTTTCCTACGATTTCTCAACAGGGCAAGAATTTAAGAACAAGTTTTAAAATAGTAAAATTCTATTTTTTATCTAGAAGTAGAAAACTGGAGCTGGTAAGAGGGGAGGTATGCATTTCCAAGTGACTCCAGGGTAAAGTTTTAGAACCAAGAGCTTGTATTTTACATTAGAACTGAATCATTTATTCAAAATGAAGGAAAACATTATTACCTGACAGCTCACATTTTACAATTAAAATGCAATTACTTTTGTATAAATCACAGAATCACTAAGGTTGGAAAAGACCTATAAGTCCAACCATCCACCTATCACCAATGGTTCTCGCTAAACCATATCCCTCAACACAACATCCAAACGTTCCTTGAACACCTCCAGGGAAGGGGACTCCACCACCTCCCTGGGCAGCCCATTCCAGTGCCTGACCACCCTTTCAGAGAAGTAGTATTTCCTAATATCCAGCCCGAATCTTCCCTGACGCAGCTTGAAACCATTGCCTCTAGTCCTAAATCACATACCAAAGTAAAACATTTGACATTTCCAGGTCACAAATTACAACTAATAACAAACCCCAGTCTCAAAATTGCTAGCAGTGTGTTAGCAGATTTGGTTTAGCCCTAGGAAACAAAAGCTACATACCATTTTTAAGATCCTGACATACTTTATATATCTGTTTTTTTTTTTAAACTATAAAACACAGAAAACGGGGAACGCACGTAATTACTTTTAAAAGCAGAACAATCGTATTACTTAGAACACAGCTCATATCACAGCCACTTGCACAGTTCAAAGATGAGGACAGCATATAAAATATTACCCTGACTGAGGTAAAAGTGCAAGTAGTGCCTTAGGAGTTTTTCACATGGGCATTTGTTGAGCTGTGCTTGCAGACACACTTAGAGGAAATCTGATCACTGTAAACAGCACAAAGCTAAAGGGTCATAAAGAGAAAGATGCTGTTAGACCATCGCACAGACACAGCACTTAAAGATTCACACTGAGGTCCTCTCAATGCAAATGGTTGTATCCATAATCTTTTGTTACTATTTTTCTAGCAGCCAGTATGTACAGTAACTTTCTGTACTTTCTGGCTTTCTTGTATGTTATACACGGTCCATCTTCTCATCTCACATACTGCTTTTAAATCCAACATATCAGTTTTAAGTAAAATCTGGTGATCATCTTACACTGTCAGTAAATTCTTTATGAAACTTAAACCAAAACCAGATAACTCCTCTGGTTGTCTCCTGCTCAAAGGGTAAAATACTGAAGCGGTTTTCCAGGATTACTTAAAGAATCACCATAAACCAGGACTTCACAGCAAGTTATTTGTACCTTAGCTCTATCCGACCAGCCAAAGGACTGCACGGTAACATCCAAACGTTTGACTAACAGTTTTCTTCGGACTTCATATTCGTTGACTATGGCTTGATTAATTGCTTCAATTTTTTCCTGAAACAAAAATTTGCAGATATAACCTATAGATTAGAGATAAAACATTTCTACTTCAGACAATAAATTACATGGATAAAAGATAACCAGACACATGCAGGCATAAACCAGGGCTTAAGCCTGCAATCAACTATCTTATCAAATGGGTCCACGTAAGCTATGTCTGCTGACACTGTTTTCCCACAGGCTTCATAGGCTGCTACCTCCATATTCAGTCTTGTACTATTTCTAACAGACACGGTTGTTTGTGGCTCATAAAGGACATAAAGCCGCACACTGTTGATGCATTTCTCAATACTCACAGGACAGAGAAACAGAAAGTGAGAAAAGACTAGATGCAACAAACTGAAGGAGATGCAAGGACAACCTAAATCCTAGGGACCAAAGTGCCCTTGCCTGCTTAAAAAGAAGTAAGCTTAAGGCCAAAGATAGAGCACTAAAAGTAAAGTACTGCAAGAGGACCTTGATTAAAACACAGTATGCATACAGACATGACAACTAAGTGCCCTACAGGTAGCGGCCATCACTAGAAATACACATGGTAGCACACAATGCTCTAGTCAGAGCAAGAGTTGAAATATGTTCCAGTAAGGAGATGATTTGTGTACAGATTGAAGCCTGGTTGAAGGGAAGTGGTGGGCACCCACTTTCAGTCCAGGCAATATAAGTATTTAGGAATATAGACTGTTGGAAATAGAAAGTCTTCAAGTCTTTGAAAAAGAGGCTCAAAAGAGACTCAGTCTTGTCATAGCTTTGTGCTGCTCAGCAGCAGCACCTCACCAAGGCAACATCCTTCTAGAGCAGCGGAAGCCAAAACCAAGTCCTGATTGGAAATGATCATGGTTCTGCCACCTGGATGGACAGCCTTTCTCAGCTTCCCACCTGTGCACCCACTGCTTCATGGGGAAGAGACTATGAAGGAAGAAGACTACTCCAGCAGCACAGAAAGAGAGGAAGAAATGATAGGAGGACCCATAGGTTAGCTAAAAAGAAGCTACAGAAAGGGGGGTTACAGTATTTCAAAGCTACATCATCTAGCACTGGAAAGCAGCAGGAGAGGAAGGCACAAGCACACAGCTCAGCAGAGAACCCCACCATAAATAGTAGGTTTCTCCCTTATTTTGAAAAACATTTGTATGCATCTGTTCATACAGATTCACGAGCTCAAGAAAGATCTTTCAGCAGTTACTGAGGATTTACTGTATCAGCATACATTTTAAAATACTGCAAAAAAAAATTGTCTTTTCATCTTTATATAAGTGAACAAGGGAAACAGGCTCTAACACCTGCAACTGCTTACCCAGTGAGCTGGTCCCAGCTGCTTCTTCAAGAGAGGTTTTCCAACATGATTAGGTGGAACCTTTGCTAGGGTTTCTTTCAGCTGTTAGAAGACATACAAAAATGTAAGCATTGCCTAAAAAACAGCTTTTCAAGATTCAGCTTACAGAAGACTATTAAATGGCCGTAGACAAAACAAAGCAGCTTCCAATATCAAGTTGTTTTCTTTGACACAAAGTATACCTATCTTGTAAAGCAATGTTATTTTAGTATCTCTGGTAGTCCTAGCTACAATTATCTAAAAATTAAGAGAGAGAATTACAGAAATACACGCTTCAAATAATAAGTTTCCATGAGCTACAGCTCCCCTTGAATACAGATACTCTATACGTCATCCTCTTAATTTAAGAAAAAACAGAAAAGCTTGTATCCAAGAGGTTTGGACGACAGGAAACAGAAGTGACCTCTCTTTTCAATCAAAAGGAAAAAGTATTCAATAGGATTCAATATTTCATTTGGATTTTAAAAATTTGGGTAATATTGTTAGAAGTTTTGAGAGAGGTAACTAAGGACTTTATGGGGAAGAAATGGAGCAGCAAGGATAAAGACTTTGATCAAAGTTTGTTGGAATTATGAAGCTTCCCTTTTCCACTACTCCAAACCACATTTTTCAACCTTTCCAGCTGTTCATTCTAGCAGTTAATTTAACATGTATGGTGACCCTGTCTTCCAACAGGTGTTGAGTCCCATTTGTTAAACAAAGATTTTAAACAGAACAGCTGAGCTGTGGGTGGATCATTAACAACAAGGCAATTACACAAAAATGGTATCCCAAACCAAACACAAATTAAAACATAGCTTGATTTTCATACTCCAGTACAAAGCATTGTCATTGCAACGCTCCCTTTTTAAAAACAAGTAAACTTGAGGGTGATTTCTTGCTGTAGCTATCTTCTTAAAGTGAAAGTTTTACTTGACTAAGTTTTCACATTCTTCTCAACTTCTCAACATATTTTCATTAGAAAATGAAAATTAGAAATGAAAATAGAAAATGATGCTTTTCATTATTAGATAGCTTTACTTTGTCCCCAAACGCTACAAACATCTGACACGTTTGGGCTGTAAGCTGTACAGTATTTCTAAAACATCACAGAATCACAGAATCTTTTGAGTTGGAAGGGATCCTTAAAGGTCACCTAACCCAACTCTCCTGCAATGAACAGGGTTAGATCAGGTTGCTCAGAGCCTGATCTGCAGATTAAATTTTTTACTTCATTGAATTGTAAAGACTGTTCATTTTGAATAAAAGAATCTATGGATACAAATCATAAAGATAACATTAATGTAGCCTTAATGATTTTGCAAGGTATATGCAAGTTTGGCTTTAAAGCAAGACAATGTACAAGGAAATTCAGTGACAGAATAAAACAAAGCATTAGATTTAAAAGATTCCGATTGTATAATTTGTATTTTTACAGCCTCTCTCACCAAAGCTTGCTAGTGCTGTACATTTTTATGAGTATTTTTTTTTACCTTTCATTGAAAATGGAAGCAAAGATTTCTTAGATATCTAACTGACAAATGCCCATGACAACACCAAAACCAGAAACAAAAACAAACTGTTTCCACTCCACATCTTGGACTGATGGAAAAATCACTATTTCCTTCTTTAACAAGTCAAACCAAAGATGATTTTTTTTTCTTGAGGAGGGTGGGGGCAAGAAATGGGGCACTGGTTCCAGCTGCTTAAATTTGGTTAAGTATAATGCAACTAAAGAGTTAACTTCTCAGAGAGGATTCTGTGGAGCTACATAAACACATCTGTTCTTTAAAGTTCACGAAGTTTCTTTGCTGCTGTTCTGTTTTTCCCTGCAGAAGAAAAGCTATGTGTCTGCACACTGGATAGTCTATTCCACTTCATTTTTCAGCTTTATAAGAATTGCTTGAACAAAAGGAAAAAATTAAGAAAACAAAGAGCATCCTGGAGAACGCATGTAAAGAAACAAAAATGGAACCACAAGAACTGATAAAGCCTCAGGGAAAAGGAGTAAACTTGACTTTAGTTACAACACCACCTTTTAATCTAAACATTTTTAACAGGACATTCCTGTAGAAGTTTGTTCTTACGTCTGTATCTTGTAATAGATTTCTCCTTAATATTCTTCCCAAGGCCTAAGCTCAGCATTTTCTATGTCTCCTGCAACAGGTCATGACATTAAAACCTGGAGCAGAGTAAGAAACACCTCACCCTTTAAGGCAACGATAGTGGTAGTCTGTGACCCCGTGCCTTGGCATGGAAACCTTTAAACTCATTTTCCAAATTCTGACTCTTGGCATACCCAGTAAACCACCACAATTCAAACCCTGGAATTTCAAGAGAGACAAATCTCTTCTTGGTAGCAGAACTATTTTCCATTGAAACAGCAACACAGTAAGCACTCTAGTTTTGTTCCTTCGGTCCTTACTTTTTTTTCAATTCCACTGAAGAACTGGAACATCGTTATGTTGGCTGGAGGCTTGGACATGCCTAAAGCAATACATATGCCTTTTAGCTCCTGAAAGACTTCACTGCCACCTCCTTCCTGTGCTTTTTTAGGAGGGGCGTTCACACACAGCATTCTGGCAGCTTCCAGTTCTGAGATGAGGTATGCTGGGGCAAGAAAAATTAGATTTCAGCATCACATATAGCCGAGGAAAATATTTTAGAACCACCGATAACTCAAGTGCTCACAATCAACTAACGTGCAAATGGCATGGCTTAGTTAAAGCTATGATTCAGGTATCTACACAATGCTCATACTTCTAACAGCCACTAAGCCCAACACTAGACACACACAAACAGCGCAAAAGTTCAGTGCAAGCAATTAAAGCCTGGAAAAAAAAACAGATTTCAGTGCACAACTCTTTTCCTTCAGGCTTTGCCCAGCAAGGACAGGAGACTAAGAACAAGAAAATAAGCAGGATGAGAGACTCGGACATGCATTTTAAGCTAAACATGCAAACACTGCTTGAGGTTCTGGGAAATGATACAAGGACGTGAGTAAATAAAAGTGAAATGTTGGATGAAACCCTTCTGCTTTTCCCAGGAAAGATGCAGAGTGGAGAAACAACCTCACTTTTTAAAGTACTGTTGAGAACTCAGGTTTACCATTCCAGAAAAGAAAACAGCAACTGATAAAGTTGAAGCTAGAATGCATGCATGGCTCCCCAACATTAGAACTGTGAGAGTCTATCATCACATCTGAACTCCTTTGTCAAAAAAAAAAAAGAAAAAAAAAGAAAAATGAAAATAGTGACAGGATGAGATGAAATAGTTTTAAACTGGAAGAGGGTAGATTTAGACTAAACGCTAGGAAGAAATTCTTTACTGTGAGAGTGGTGAAACACTGGAACAGGTTGCCCAGAGATGTTCTCAAGGCCAGGCAGGATGGGGCTGTGAGCAGCCTGGTCTAGAGGTAGGTGTCCCTGCCTGTAGTAGGGGGTTGGAACTACATGATCTTATAGGTCCCTTCCAACCTAAACCATTCCATGAAAAATCACAGAATTTCTGAACATGGTCTGCATCTGTAATTGCAGCACTGTGATGTAGGTTACAGTAATAAAAAGCTAGACTATAGCCTTTAGCTGCAGTTTCCACAGTTTTAGGGTTTGAATTAAAAAAACCAAACACATTGAACAATACTTTTGTCTTGAATCACACTGGGTGTCTTTAACATCAATTTAAATTATTAGTTCTTAAAATAAGGATTGAAAGATTAGACGCTACAGTGATAAAAAAACGACTTGTGGATATATAAAACTTAAAAAAAAACAGCTTTTTAAAGGTTTTTTAACTACCTCCAAAACTGGAATTTCTCTTTGCATATGCCAGTACTGCACTGAATTCCAGCAATGCTGCTCATCAAGGCAGTCCTGCTTATGTTTAGCGGGTGCTTTTGTTAAGAATACTGTTCTGCCTTTCAACTGACATAAGCTATGCTGTGTTTTTGTTTGTTTGGGTTTTTTTAGTATAAAATACCCTGACACTCACACACAGAACATAAATCTTTTTCTGAAAAAAGAAAAGAAAATGAGTTTATGGCTCACATAAAACAGGACACCTAGTAAGTTAGTTTGATGCAGGTAATGAAAGCTGTGCAGAAGTTTTAGGTACTAGGATTACGTTATACACAGAAAGATTGTGGCATCAATTTCAAGTCCACATTTAACAGTAAACAAAGTATTCCTGCCAGATGGAACACTAGAGTGCAACTTCTGAACTTAACTTTCTACTACCAACATGTACATCACTGAAGACCTCTGGGATAAGCCCAGTCACACGTAAGCCAAATTTACTGAAGGCTTAGCTCACAGAGAACAAGCCAAAGGGCAGACACATTTGAACTACAAAGTATTTTAAATGCTATGATTACCTCATTTCACCTGATATTTTTGAACACATTATCAAATCAAGTTCAGATTTAAGCCTTACTATCAATTCTTCTCCCGCTGCTGCAATACAGGAATCTACACTGTAATTCATTTCCCACATCTCAGCTGGAATTAGAGTGATATTCCTGCGTTGAATAGTTAAAGAATCAGCAGCAAGTGAAGAAACAAAACAAATGCTCAATTTAAGACCAGATTAAAATTAATATTAAAATTCTTAACTCTGACACTTGCGATTTTTTTTTTTTAATGTGCATCAACATCACACACTTTTTCCAAATTTCAGTGCTATTTCTTTCACACTGAACAGGAATAAAAGCAAGTTAGATTTTCAGATGCACAGGATGGAAAACTGACAGGAGGACATCACTCTTGATACCATTCATTTCTTTTGGAGCAGCAGAAAATAACATTGAGAGTGTTTATTAAGGGAGATAATCAAAAGAACTTGAGCTGGGATATTTTCCACAGCAGTTTGAATTACTGTTGGAGTGTAGGAAAATGCAAGTCCTACTGCACCTTGCAAGTCATCCTGACGGGGGCACTAAAACGATGATGCATCTGATATTAGTGGATGTTTTTATGTCCTTCCTGAACAAAGCTCAGTAACTAAATCCTAGCAGAAGTCTCACACGATTCCTACTTCAGAGCACTTTTTGAGAAGCAAGAGAAGCTTTTCACTAGTGAATGCGAGAAGAGTTAACACTCAAAATATCATCATGCACTGGCTACAGAGTGATTGGTAAATTTACAAGACCCTGAAGTGTAATGTTCTGACACCAGATGTCACAGGGAAAAAATAATTATTAATTCTAGGTAGCTGCTTTTATACACTATGGGAAACAAAGCACCTTGTCACAGCATTTCACCAAGTGTAAGAATATGAGTCTTTGCACAGAAACCAAATTTACTTGCAATTTCAACTTACTAAGCAGCAAGAGACAGTTCTTTTGGTTAAGAAGGCGTTTTGTCACATCTCCTGTTGTTAACGATGTGTATGGACAGTTCATTTCAGCCAGCAACCCACTCACTTCGAGTTGAAATTCTTCAGCTTCATTTGGACCTTAGAAGAAAAATAATCATTTGTTTACAGCTATGATTAAAGCGAGTTAACTCTTAAAAATAATAATGCTTTGCTTCAGTTGCTTTCTAACATGAAAATCCTATCTGCAATGGAAGCCAATGCATTCTCAGGGTTTTTTAAAGACAGAGCAAAACCTCTTTGGAGGCTTGATGTCCCTCATTGTTGTAAAATTATCTTTCACTGAAAACTTAACCCAGCTACAACAGACAGCTGCTGGCAAATTCTACAGTGAAAAGGAACACTAAAAACAACATAAATTTGACACGGTATTTTAGGTAGACTAATAGCTCCCACTACAAACATGTTAAATAAGCCTCATATGGTCATGAAAAATACGGTTTATGAGTGCTCATGTTTGCATTTCCTAAGTCAGCTAACATTTGTCAACTGATCTTATTTTGTACTAACATCCTTTAAAATAATTAAGCCAAAGTTTTGTTTCTGATACAAGTATCAACCTAAGTGCTACTAGTGAAACAAGTCTGAATTTATTACGCCAAAGTATGGGAAAAAAATAAAAGGGATAAAGTAACAGTCTTCTTTTGAAGAGAGACCATGCAGATTACAGACTGTCTTGGGCTAAACTTGAGTCACACAAAATGAAGGAAGGACTTGATTATATATGACAAATATAATGTTGACAATTTGAAGTAGGTCTTTAGGACACTGCCAAACTGTATTTTTACACATGATGTACAGGAAGAAACTTACACCACTACAGGTGGAGAAAAGCGATGCTATTAGTGATAGGGAGTCAATTACACTCACAGAAAAAAGGATGCAAATATCAAGAACAATAAGGAAAACAGCACATGAAGGTAAAAGAACAGCTATCTTTGGGAACCACGTAGATTGAAAGTCAAATTTCCATTTGGGGTTGATATGCTACATAATCAGAAGTATATGTTGTCACAACAATTTAACAATTTGATCCACAGAATATCACAACTAGTTGACTGAAAATAATGTTTCTGGAAAATGGGAGTTTGTTTCCTCCACCAAAATAAGAAACATTTGCAAACTCTTTTCTGCAGAGTATTTCATAAAGGGGAAAAAAAAAAATGCATGGCATGGACAGAGTTATGGTAACCAATAATAACACGAAAATACAGCTGCTGTAGTCATGAGAATGTTTCCTTGAACAGTAAATATTTCTTACATCCAAATTACAAACAGAAGGCTTGAAATAAGCCTTCCCATGATCTAATAAAAAGCAACTAATTTTTCCTTAAATCCATCCCCAAAATTTAAGAAATATCTACATTTGTACCATTAAACAAATCTATTACCAGAATACTGTTTGATCCCTGCTATTACTTCAGCCTCTACAGGCCGCTCATTAGGCAAGTCTGAAATCCGAGGTGGAAAACAACCGAAAATCTGACAGCATACAGACAGTACTCACTGCTACATCAGATTTAGCAGTTATCAACCCAAATACAACAGGCAAGAACACATATGAAGTGCACATTTGTGCTAGAGTTACAGCTACTTACTGTTAGTTGCTTGCACATTTTCCTCTAGTTTACAGAACAGCCGTAACTCAGATACCAACCAAGCACAGAGTTTGGTGAACTCAGGGGAACTGGCTCCACGAGAGACTGCCTGAGCCAGTGCTCCGTCATCTAACAATGGACCTTTGTAGCTGACAAGCAAAACAAAAGCACAGTTCATTAAAGTTGACAACGACCAATGTCCTGTTGCACATTTATTTTATGCTCTATATGTACTGAGAGCTACACCCTCATCAGATATGAAATGCTGAACATCTAAAACTGTAAGATAAATTCCTGTGCTGAGCTGTAAATGTCTGAGTAAGCCCAATCTGTCCATGCACATTAGATTAATGGCACTGAGATCACGTCACAAGACATTACAATCGAGTGCTTCATCCTGGAGAAGGCTACCATATAGAGCTGCAATTTCTTTCTCTCCAGCTCTTGGAGACATTATACTTACCTTTAGCAACTGCAAAATACCGTTTCTAAATGCTGCTTTATAGTATGTTGAACAATTACTACTAGATTGTTGCTTCTTTTCTGCACCAATCACTTCCTATCAAGAGTTAAAGTAGGTTAGACTTTGATACAAATCTTACCAAAGCGATTCTGAATATCCTATTTGGGAGTGTTACATTCTTAAAAGGGTACAAGAAAAACACACAGGAGACCATAGTTCTCTGCATAACAAAATAAAGCAGAATCAAGCTTAAGTGTAAAATAGCACAATTCTAGAAAATCAGTTTCAGAAGATGTAGATTTGAGGTCACCTGTGTAGTGACATCCTATTGGAGGATAGAGAAAAGTAGGGAGAAGACAGCCCTATGAATCAAGCAGAAGCACAAAGCCAGAGCTTACCAGAGCATGTTGAAAATGTATAGGATTTTTCCATATGCCATACCCAAAACAGAAACTGCCAAGAGCAAGAATAATCAACCAAAATCATTCTGTCACCCAGAACATCACAGCAACCTAGCGAGTTCCATCAACTCCTGGCAAATCTCAGTGGAAAAACATCTCGCAAAGTGCAAATTTAAGTGTTACTTTCACTCCTCGTTGTTATGCTTAATGTCACACATAAAGGGTTTGGCTTCATCACATCAGTTTGTTTGCATCCAAACAAAATGAAGGAGTTACACTCAGAAATAACTTTCCCTCACAAAGCATTTTAACAAGTGACAGAGAGTTAATCTACTAGCAGCTGATGGGAAGTTGTAGCAGGGATATAATGCATCAGATTACCTCACCACAGCAGGGCAGAGGATTCTAACACACTAACCAAAGCAAGTTTAAGTCCTGTCCCACACATACATGGGAAGGTGCATGACTCAGTGGAAACACCAAGTTACAGATTTAAGTAGAAATGAAGAGATGACAAGCCTTTTTCTTTGGCAGGATCTGCATATAAAACGTCTCTCAGGTTAAAGGTCCTTTTTCCTAGTATTTTCTGTTGATAGATACATCTTAACTGTAATATCAACACTAACTATAATTTCAGGTACACAGCTCTTTGGCTAGCAGTCCAATTTGCAGACCTGTACTGTGAGCAGCCTCTTACTTCTGTTCATGCTCCCACAGCTGCCTGCCTATGCTCCACAGCCACATTCTCTTAGTAGCACTATGTTGCCAGGTCTGCTTGCTCCTTGAAGCCAGGAATACCCTTTCAAACATATGGCAAAAAAGGAAGCTGACCATGTCATGCGCATCATGGCAGGGACCTTTTCACATTTCAGTCACTGCAATACCTGCCAAAACAGAAGCCTATTTGTCAAGCTGGGGAGCTATCATCACCAACTTAGCCTGGAAATATAATCTTTGTGGCTCAGGTAACACTCCAACAAAGTGATTTATGGGAACACGGCCAACGTGAATAAATACAGCTGTTTGCACAGAACCAGCAGCAAAGTCACGACTGCCGCTGCCCTGAGCTCCCAGCAGTGCAAGCTTATGGCAGGACATGCTCTACTCACCCTTCTTCGTAATTATATAACCTTTACTGACCCTGCTAGGATAAAAGGTTTAAACTAGAGAAGCTTCCTGAGCTATGTTAATTAAAAAAAGCAGCAAAGAAAAAGCGCTAAGTCACGAGCGGTTTTTCGGTTGTCATTATTCCTCCAAAAGACAAAAAAAATGAAGAGTTTTTCTGCCCCCCGACGTCCCCTCTCCTCTCCTCCGGTCTCAGTCACACCGAGGTTTCTGGGCCGACGGCACCGCCACAGCTCAACGCGCGGGGAAGGGCGCCAGAACGCCCGCGCAGCCCGCACAGTTGCAGCCCCGCCGCCGGGCGCCGCGCCTCTCCGCTCGGCCTGCCGGCGAGGCCGGCAGCTCGGCCGAAGCCCCGACGTGCCGCCGGTACCCCCGCCTCCGGGACCCCGCACCTACCCCAGGTCCTCCAGCGACTCCAGCACGTCGCTCTCCAGCAGCTCGAACTCCATCCTGCGGCGGGGAGCGGATGGGGGGAAACCTGCGAGACAGCGGCACGACGGCTGGACTCAGCTCCCCGTTACCCGCGGCAGACCCGTTAGCCGCCCGGCCCCGTCCCCTGTCCCTCTGAGGAACAAACGGCCGCGCCCCGCAGCGAGGTGAGCAACCCCCGGCACGCGCCACCGCCCCACGTACGCCGCTCCCACGCCGCTACGCCGCTGACTGCCGGGTTGGCATGTCAGGGTGGGGGGGGAGCGGTGGAAAGCCTCCGGGCTGCCCCTAAATGTGCCTGACCGGCGCGACCTCCTTCCGCGGCGTTCTCCACGCACCCGCAGCATCAGACCGCACTGCGCGAAGGAGACGAGGGTGTGAGAGGAAGCGCCTGGCTGCTTTTGTGGGGCGGAAGCGCGAGAGGAGGCGAGGAGGCCATGATTCTATTCAGGCTCCGACGTGGGCAGCCCCAACTGAAGGACCCCTCCTCCCGCCTCGGAACCCACGCTGGAATGCGTTGGGGCGAGCGGCGCCGGGCGGAGAGACGGGGCGGCACGAGGGACAAAACGCCTCAGCGAGAGTGCGCTTCCTCATAGCCGAGGGCACCGCGGGGACCACAACTCCCAGCATCCTCCTCTAGGCCGCCTCCTGAGCTGAAGTGCCTCAAGGGGCCGGAAAGAATTCTTCGCTAACACATCAATCGCTGCTTCTGCTATTAAAGGCAGGTCAATCTGCTGACTGAGGGGAGAAATACCTCCTGAGGACCAACAGCTTAACGAGAAAGGCACAGTGAGGGCGTTTATTTGCTTCTAGTTAGATAACAGTTGATAAAGATTAGCCACAACTTCAAACAAAACTGGCTCACACAGCTGAGGCTCCCAGCCCCAAGGGACTTGGGGAGCTGTTTCTTTCCTCCCAGGTTCAACGTTGCAGCTGAAGACTTGTGACACTTCTCTGACGCAAGGGTTGTGTGCAGGGGCCAGACCCTGGAGAAACTGAGCATCTCAAGGCCAAAGCCTGTTAGCGGGGGGGTGGTAGATATGTCTCTATTTTCCACAAAGGACCTTCATCTCTGTTTGCCAGAGATAGGAAGAGGGTGGGATTGGTGATGTTTCCATTTGCAGAAGTGCTGTTTTCTGGCCATCTGTATACTGTCAGCAAAAACATAAACTCATTTTCTAGAGTAGCTGGATCTCTTCTGCTCTCCTGCTTTGGTAACTAAAGGAAGGGATAAAAGTACTTGCAATCTCTTCTAGACAGGGCATTTGAATCTACCCTCACCTTACTCCTCTACTACAGGATATCAGTACTATGAAAATTAGTTTACAAAACAGCCTCTGCAGCAGCAAATTAATGCAACAGCAAGCAGAGACTAGACCATTCAATACTTCGTATTATACAGATGGGCAAGTCTTAGTAACTGCTGCTAGGAATCATGTTAGTGTGACATGGAGCTTGTGTATGGAATACAACTATTTCTGAAGTGCTGTCTTTCTCTAAACAACAGCAGCAAATTAGTTTATGTTTTCTCATCAGAGTGATAAAATAGAATGAGTGTATCTGTGCATGGTAAAGAAATTAACCACATATTTTTTTGTAGGATAATCAACAACTATGATAAACTTGCAAAAAATCAGGCTGTCTGTTGTGTTTATTCTTTTACATACTTGATAGCTCCTGCTAGGACATTTTTGTTGGTGAAGCACAGCAGTATCTCTCTCAGATACAGTAACTGTGGAAAGGGTTAACAAGACTTCTGTGAACATATGAGGAAAAATGTTTGCATGAGCAATTCAATATGGTTGCTGAGTTGCAAAAATAACATTAAGATTCCAGATTAAGTATTGAGGTAATTTTAAAAAGCCTTTTTTCCTCCTTTGAGCAGCTGTTCCAAGAGATACTATAGAGCCAGAAAGGCCTAGTGAATCAAGAAACTTCAGAAACAAGCTCCTTCTCTTGCAACTATTAAATCCTGAAGTAGCCCGCACATTGTTCATTCTCTTCAGAGAAAAGTTTTTAAACAAAAAGCACTCAAGGTCCACTGTTATTTCATAAATGTTTAATGTTTGTTTTTAAAATAGTACTGTTTAAACAAGAGAAAAAAAACTATCTACACGTACACGGTCTCCTTGGACACTGGCAAAAGAACTTACATTACAGACAGACCCATGAACACCATGTTCAACATTTAGGAATACAGAAAATCCTAACGTTGATTAACCATTTTAATAATGAAAAGAATATGCTCTCATACCAAAGCAAAGAGATACTATTCCAGGCATGCAAATGTGTACCCACCTTCTCAGAAGAGGATTCCAAAAGCCCAGAAGCTCCAGATAACATTTTCATCGCTCCTGTGGAAATTAACCAAAAGCCAAAAAAGGGAATAATGTGCTTATTAAAACAAATTCAGTGTTCATACTAAAATCCCTCTTTCTGACCATCTGGTGAGTTTGGCTGTTATATTCCCAAGTCTGAATCCTTTCTGATTCTTTTCCCAACTGTACTGAAATTTTTCAAACCCCAAAGCATTTAAAATAGTCTAGAAGAAGCTTAAAACAGAATGAAAACACCTATGGTTGAGCATACAGTGAATGCAGGTACCACACCAGGCATTTTAAGGACTAGGATACCAGAACTTATGCATTTGATACTTTGGTCTTGCATGCTAACCTTTTAAGTACAGTGTTTAACCTTATCTTACATCTTTGAGCTCTGAAACACAAATTTAACCCACAGAGGAATAAAACAGGTATATTATTATCTTTGCTGATCTCTCTTCTATAGACACTGCAGCCAGTCTCAAGTAGGCTGTCCATGTCTTCTACCAAGTGCCAAACACATCAAATGTGCATTATATAAAATACTGTAGCAAATGTAGATATGGAATTTCTCCCCAGCAGCCAAATGGAATCCATTGCATTAATTTATTGCACTGAATGCATGAAATACAAGGATGAATTATTTTTGTAATCTTATCTTGGATGTTTTGGCTAGAGGTACAATCAAGATATACTGGTTTTAAACCTCTCTTATATACTTGGTGAAGTAATATTATCTTTGAAACTAACTGCCAGAGAACATGAACTGTAAAAAGTCCTTGGAAAACACCACAGTAAATGGGTATAATTGCATTAAGCCTTCAGTTCTCATAAGAAAAAGCAGTCACCAACAATCCTTTGCTAATGGACTTTGTTGTCCTGTTCTTCAGCAAACCAGGTATTTCTAGATACCTACCTTTCAAGTACACAGAAATTGAGTCCTCTCATCTGATCATCTGGTATTTTTCTTTTATTTCTGTTTTTCATATCTGACAGGAAATGAATAGCGTAATGTGCTTCCTGATGTGAGGATCATGCCTACTGTTTCTTTATTGACTAGCTGCTACCAGGCTTTTCCATTTTTTTACTAGTCTTCACAGCTACTGCTACTACTGACGTGTTATTTTGCTTCAACATGGTTTTACATTCACCAATCAAACTACACAGGGTTGTATTTCAACTATTTCACTGCTGCTTAGAAGCCAGCTAAAGCTCCCTCACAAAGAAGTTTCTCAAAGTATTTTATTACGAATTAAAAACAATACCTTATATATGTGCTTTGCTCTCTCTAAACTGAATATTCTACAGTCAGCCTATCGGTAAAAGAAATGAAGTAGCTCTGATACAGCTTTTATTTGCTGTAGCTACTCAACCATCCTCCAACATGTACTCTAATAATTTTGATGGCTCAGCTCTCTGCATCCCCAGTTGTTGAAGGAACATTCTGGAAATGGTTACAGCAACTTAACTAGAATTGCTAACTTAAAAGTATTCAGCTTCTCACTCCAAGAAGAGCCTAAGAAGAGGTGGTGGTAGGATCACAAACCAAAACCCAAGAATTAACACTACATACAGAGCCTTCATTTTCTACTCTAAGACAAAGTAACAGCCTGCAGCTGCTTTATTTTGCTCAGGTTGGTTACAGCCAAGAATACATCTATACTGGTTAACAGAAAAGGTGGCCTAGCAACTATAAACTTGCATCTCTCTTCAGGTCGTTCTGTATTCCCAGCATGGTCACGCATCCTCTTTGTACTTACTCTGTGTAGGGGGCATAAGAGGAATGAATTCTTTCCCAGATAATGATTTTGCTCTCTTTGCCTTTCTGTAACATTCTGAAAGAGTAATAAAGCAACACAATACTACATTAAGTGCCCTGGAAAAACCTATCTCAAGTGGTATCTCCTGCATTTTTTCAGGGAAAAATGTCTGTGTTCTGCAACATGCTATGCAAACATTCTTGATCATGTAATTCTAGTCTCAGAAGAAATAAGTTTTCAACTCTAAACCTTTCACTACACTAAAGAAGTATAATTTTAGCATGCCTTGGGATTTACTGGCTTGGTGAAAAGTTGTCTCTTTAAAGAAATAAACCAGCCTACTTCTGTCATCATTACTTTCCCTTGATATTTTGGAAAAAAACAAAAAAAAAAAACAAACAAAAACAAACAAACAAAAAAAAACCACTAAGAAAGTAGGCAAGTACAAATTATCTGTGTTAATGGGGAAAAATTCAGATCTTGGTGCAGCTTCCCTTAGATACAAATTTATTTCTGCTCCTACCAAGAATTAAGAAGTGGCAGTGACCCTATATCTCAATCTGCTACTTGTAATTTTTACCAGTAAGACAGACATGTATTTGAAAAAACTAGTAACAGAACACTGGTTGATACATTACTTCCCCACTAACATGGCCATTTAAAATAAACACATAACCCTCCCAAAAGCCCATACACTGCTTAGTAATATCTCAAAGAAATGATTCCAGCAACCTGGAAACAAGATTTACCTGCTCAAGGGACTACCACAATAATAATAATAACAATAACATACAGTATTTTGTCTTAAATACTTAAATATAAATAAATAAAACTTAAATATTTGAAGGCCGTTTCTACTTTCCAAATAGAGCCACAGATGTCAAAAGAAACCTGCAAAAATAACTTACATTACAAAGAATGCCAGCAGCTTTTCCATGGCTCTTCTACTGCCTCTTAATAAAAAACTGTTCTGCCACAGACTTCACCCAAGAGAATATTCTTTCTGCCAACCTTCAACATGGCAAAGTAAAAGTTGCAGTATAAAATAAATGCCTGGAGTTAATTCATCACCCTTGTAATTTACTAGGTATTTGTGCTGGCTTTGAAGGCATAAAAACTAAGTCTACTTGAATTTTTCATTTCCTATCAGCAGCTTCCTAAAAATCAACAGAAAGGCACTTCTCCCTTATGCAGCTTGTAAAGAACTAGGCTAGGAAGGAGAGATAATGTTATATTGCACTATTCAAATACACAGGTAAATTCCCCTCCATTAACTCACCCCTCCTCCTGAGGATCTGGAGTCAAGCATCCAAAGCCAGCCTAGAACTTAAGGCTTCCCAGTCAGTGCACTATGCTACAGCTCTGCCAGCACAGGGGATCAGTACGGTAGATAATCATTTACTGCATGCCTCTGAAAACCACAGCAAAAATAAATAAATAAATAGATAGACACATAAACAAAATATATACATATATACATGCAATTTCACAAAACTTTAAAACAACAAATGCCTCTACCAATATGCCTACATGTCAGTCTGCCACCATTCATTTTGTTCCTACACATTCCAGCAGTTCTAGGAGTATCTTTTTACTCCTACCTTTAAAAAAACAAAACAAGAAAAAAAACACAAATAAACCTTATTTTCAATGTGGAATACTGTCAGTCCACTCAGGTACAGAACAACTATTTGACCGAAGGCATGAAAAAGAAGTATTATTTAACTTGTATCAAATGAACACTTAGCTTCTGGAAAGCTGAAGGCAAATATAAGCTAACAACTCTTCCTCTCTCATTTGCAAAGTTCTTGCTTTCCCTTTGGTGCTCGGTGCTCTTCGTTCCTGGCCAGCAGGGCTGTGTGCTGACCACCAGTGCTAGTTGCAGAAGCAACTGATAAAAAAGATACTGGATTTATGTTGATGTCCTTTCCACCTAAATAAAGTTAATCAAGCGCACTTCCCACACAGGTAAGACAGTACTGAATGAGGATGTCTGAAGTAGATTGTCCAAATGAGTTTTTCCACCACTGCATATACTGAGACCTTCATGAAAATAGATCTGAGAAATGAAACTAGCCAGGTGGAAACTAAACATCATCA